GCTTTATTGAGCTTATATATATGCATACATGCACACATAGACATACAAACATATACATGGATGTGCACATATGCATATATGTACATTTTATAGTCTATACATAGATTATATAGCTTTATTGAGCTCACATATATGCATATATATTGCATAATGTATACACAGTGACTATATGTACATACAAATATATAGATACCATAATGCAACATAACATCTATATGCATATACATATATAGTCACATATATAGACATAGACACTATAAATATAATGTGTATATAATGATTACACATATACAACTCTAGACATATAGTCACTATATATATATTATATAGTATCCATATATGTCTATTTATATATTCATGACTATATGTGTGTGTATATATATATACACATATATAGTCACTATACACAGACACAGACACAGTCTTAGGGTTTCTGTTACTGTGAGGAGATACCATGACCATGACAATTCTTATAAAGGAAAACATTTAATTGGTCCTGGCTTACAGTTTCAGATATTTAGTCCATTATCATCATGGTGGGACATGGCAGCATGCAGGCAGACGTGGTCCTGAGAGTCCTATATCTTGATCTGCAGACATCAGAAGGAAACACTGCTACACTGGGCAGCATATTTGAGACCTCAAAACCTGCCTCCACAGTGACACACTTCCTCCAACAAAGCCACACCTATTCCAACAGGACCATACCTTCTAATAGTGCCACTCCCTGTGGGTCTAGAATGAGTCTGTGGGGGACATACTTATTCAAACCACCACCACCAACACACACACACACACACACACACACACACACACACACACACACGAGCTTCATGAAGGACTGGTAGAAAGCCCAGTAGCAGGAGTAAACATACACATGCAGGAGATGTAGGATCAGGTTGGTGGGGACAGAAAGTGCTTGGTACCAAACAGGGAGACTGACTCTAAGACAGGCATAGTCATCTTCTAAAGCATTTTAAAGAGCAGACCTTTGATTTTGTCCTATAGGTGATACATCAGATATTGGGAGTTGGGGAGGTACTTGGATTGGAAAAGAGATCATGTGGTTGGGGAGGTTGTTGCAGTGGCACAGAGCCTGCTACTCAACCAAGGTCCTGTGACATATTTTCTGGTTTATAAATGAAGGAAACGAGACTCAGATGTTAAACCATGTATTAGGGGTTCAGTGACTATAATGTGATAGGACCACATTATAATCCTGGTTTATGTTGCCCCAGTAAAACTATCATACAGATGCAGCCTTTAGGAAGGGGAAGGGGATGGTCTCTTCCTCACAGGGATTCTGTTTTTCTATGCCTACATCTCTAATGCTAGGTGTGGGGGAAATTGACACCTGGCAGGTGCTGGTTAGCGGGGAGCTCGGTGTTGTGCTAAAAGATTTGCATATGTGATTTATTCAATTGTCATATAAGTAATAAGGTATGTGGTGTTAGTATCAACGTTTTAAAAATATTAGGCAGGTGTGGTGCTTGAGCGATGTCTCACAGCTTGAATGGTAACAGGTGTTGGACTGAGTTTGTAGGCTACCAAGGACTATCTTTTCTTCTCCTAGTTCACTCTCACTAAAGGTGGACCAGAGCATTTGTCTCAAGCTGCTCAAAGCCAGGAGGCATTCTGAGTATTTGTCAGGCCTTGTACACTATCTAGTCTTAGGAGCTCATGTTATAATAACCATTAAGTGACCACTGGAAACGATCCTTAATCCATTCATGAGGTAGTTTCTTCCTGCTTCCTTAGCATGTGTGCCAGCTTGGACACTGAGTTGACATCATGTGGCTGTATCTGTGTATATGTGTATCAGATACATACTTGACGTTTCTTCCCTTGGAACTGCTAGGCCACCTCTTAAGATAGATCATTCTTGGGGCTGGAGAGATGGCTCAACAATTAAGATCATGTACTGTTCTTACAGAGGACCCTGGTTCCATTTTCAGCACCTTCATGGTGGCTCACTGCTGTCTGTAACTCCAGTACCAGTAAATACAATGTCCTCTACTGCTGTCTGTGGGTACTGTATGCAAGTGTTACACAGGCACGCATGCAGCAAAGCACCCATGCACATAAAACAGATTAATAAATCCTTTAAAAAAGGATGTTCCTGGCAAAAGCTTACTAACTTCATTGAGGAAGAATGACTTGATGTTTTCAAGGAAATAATGTGGGCATCTTTCCTGGAGAGAAGATCCTGTGGAGACCTCTGAGAGGGTTGGGTGTTTGAGTAATGGAACATTTTGTCTCAAACAGTAGAAACTGATGTGTGAATTGAGACTGCAGGCTACTGTGAATGCATTCGTCTCAAAGTGATTCAATTTCTGTTAAGTACTGGGAAACATGAAATAAATTATTGACAGGTGTCTTAGTCACACTGTTCTATTGCTGTGAAGAGACATCATGACCAAGTCAACTCTTATAAAAGAAAGCATTTAATTGGGGGCCTGCTTACAGTTTCAGAGAGGTTTAGTCTGTTATCGTCATGGTGGGAGTATGGCGGCACTCAGGCAGACATGGCTGGAGAAGTAGCTGAGAGTTCTACATCCTGATCCGTAGCGAGAGGGAGAGAGAGAGGGAGAGAGAGAGAGAGAGAGAGAGAGAGAGAGAGAGAGAGAGAGAGAGACACAGAGACAGACACAGAGAAAAAAAGAGTGACTGGGCCTGGCATGGGCTTTTGAAACCTCAAAGTCTAGCTCTGGTGACACACTTCCTCCAACAAGGTCACACCCAATCCTTCTAATCCTTTCAAATAGTGCCACTCCCTGATGTCTAAGCATTCAAATATATGAGCCTATGGGGACCGTTCTTATTCAAACCACTACAGCAGTTATGGTGTTGCCCTTTGATTGCAGGTGATAAGGCCCATGAGCAACAGAGCCCTTGAGGTAACTGAAGAATACAAGGGGAGATCTGCAGGCTCTGCCTGCAGCCAAGGGAAGTGGGGCTCAGGAGAGGAGGATGCTGTCATTGGCTCACTAAGCTCCATTCGCTTCAGGCTCTTCTCACAGCACAGATTCCATAGGGAGCTTGAGTGATCCCAGGGCCTCCCCCAAATCAAGTAGGAAAGGTGAAAGGGCTTTCCATGGAGGGTACCCTGGGCTGGCAGGCTGACACACCAGTGAATGTATTCTAACAGATACACATTGCAGCCTTGATCTCTGGGGATTTATGATCACGGGGTGCAGACTGTGATAGTAGGCGATGGTGGTTGCTATGGAAGGTCTTTACAGACTGGCGGGAGCTTAAGGAAGGTTTTGAGTTTTGCATGGGAGAGACAGGTATGTCTGAAGTGAATTCTGAAGATGAGTAAGATTTTGGTAGTTGGACAGGTGCATTTAGGTTAGAATCCTTGCATGGCAGCACGGAAAGAAAGAGATTACATATAAAGGAAGGCTGTGCCGAGGAGCTGGAAGGAGTCTCAAGTGGTTGATCTCGAGAATGCACTGGGGGAGATGTGTGCCTGTGGCTGGGTTTGGGTAGAGGGATTTTGGTTCTAAGAGATAAGCTGGCATTATATGACCTTGGGTGTCAGGAGAATGTAATCAGTTGAGTTTTTTAGGAGATAGTGGTGGACTGAGTAGGAGGACCCTCAGATTCAGCTCCTCTCTTGAAGGAAGCTAGTGAGTTGGGAGCTGTCTCAGAGAAGATGGGAAATCAGCTGCTGGGAAGACCCTTGGAGAGATTTCCCAGGGTCACAGATTCCTGTGGAAATTGTACGGATTTGTGGGGGTGGTGACAGGTAATGTGGGCCTGGCCCTTTCCTTTGTGTGTGGAGTTTCCAACCGTTGAGGGTGGTGTGGAAGGCTGTGCGGGGGCTCCCCTGCCCCAGCTCCACTCTCTACGGTCAGTGTTCTGTGTGCTTAGAAGCCAGCAGTCCCTGTTTAGCACTGGTCTGGGAGAGAGCAGTCAGGAAGAATGTGAAAACAGATCAGGCTTTTGTTGCTGGGTAGGAATGGAGTCACTTCTAAGTAGCCCTTTTGTAATTAAGGAGGAAGGCAAAGGAGGTTGAGAAGGTTTGCACTCCGGAGGCTGCTGGAGGGGGGCTGGGGAAGAACTTTCTTCCTGGATAGGGAAGAACGTGTTTTTCTTTGCAGCAGGTAGTTTCTAAACACAGGAACATCTTTACTGTAACCGTGAGGCTCGGCAGCTCAGGCTTTGAAGGAACTGCTTGGCACTTGTTTAAACAGCACTCTTCTAGAAGCTGCCTGCTACTAAACCTTTCTTAGTTCTAGGTTCCACAGCTAGAGTAAGTGACCGAAATTCCACCACCAGTAGCAACAAGGTTGGTCTGGCTGTGGAGTTTAGTGACAGAGCACTTTCCTAATGCCTGTGAAGACCTAGGTTTTGACACCCCCCTCCCCAGTATAAAACAAAGCAAAACAAGATGAATGAACAACAACCAAGGCCCTGAGGTTGAGTATATAGCATACTAGATCCTGTGCAGATATGTTATGTGTTCATTATCTCATTTATTTGTTTATTTATTTTGATTTTTGGCAGACAGGGTTCCTCTTTGTATACGTAACTGTTACACAACTGCTTTGTAGACCAGGCTGACCTTAAACTCAGAGATCCATCTGCCTCTGCCTCCCTAGTACTGGGTAGGTTTAGGTACTGTGGCCCAGATTATCTCACATATTTTTAGCTAACTTTATAAAGTAGTGCTATTAGTTTTTGACAGTTAAGAGACCCCAGGCTCAACAAGCTGAGTAGTAACTTGCTTGTCCCTTCCTTCCTGCTTTGTATAAAGTCAGGAGGTGGTAGAACTTGGATTTAATTACAGACAGATTAAATTTTTATTCATTTTAAAGAAAATTATATATAATATAATTATATATAGAGAGATATATAGGCATGCATGTGTCTATCTATCATCTATCTATGTATCTTATCTATGTGTACATGTATGCTTACATATAACTCCGTCAATAGCAGTGGCTGTTGATTGTGTCTCTATGTTCACTCTGGCCTGTTCTGGTCTCTTACAGAAGCAGCTGACACAGGACGATGACACTGATGACGTCGAGATTGCTATCGACAATACAGCCTTCATGGATGAGTTCTTTTCTGAGGTGGGCAGCCTTCCTGTGTTTTTATTTCTGAATGTCTACAAGGAAACACAATTTCCTCAGTAAGAATAAAGAAACCTCAGATCTTTCAATGCTGGCAAGGGAACAGATGGGCAGGCAGAATTGTTCCAGGGAGATTCTGTTTTCAATTCTTGGGAGTATCTAGACTTTACATCTTACTAAGGAAGTCAGGAGAAAGAGGCTGGGAGATGGCTCAGTGGTTAAGAGTATTTGCTGTACTTTAAGAGCAGTGGTTCTGACTCTGTGGGTCCGGACCCCAGGCTGACCCACCCTTTCATAGGACTCACCTAAGACCAGTGGGAAACAGATATTTACATGATGATTCATCAGAGTAGCAAAATTACAGTTATAAAGTGGCAAGGAAAATAATGTTATGGTTGGGAGTCACCACAGCATGAGGAACTATATTAAAGGTCACAGCATTAGGAAGGTTGAGAACCACTGCTCTAGAGGAGCCAGGTTTGATTCCCAGCACTCATGTGGTGACTCACACCATCTGTAATTCCAATGCCAGGAATCCCGTGCCTTCTTTCTGCCTCTGTGGGCACCAGCCTTGACCATTGTACACATCATATACATGCAGACAAAATGCTCATACACATAAAATAAAATAAACAAATAACTAAATGATTTTTAAAAGGCAAGCAGAGAGTAAATTATATGTAATTGTTGATAGACTTGAGAAGTCTTAAGTACATGACTTTTTTAAAAGTTTTTTTTTAATATTTTTTAAAAAAGAAAGCAATCTTTTTTCATTTTACATACCAATCCCAGTTTCCACTCCCTCCCCTCCTCCCATTCCCACCCCCTTCCTCCATCTAATCCACTCCTAAGAGAGGGTAAGATACATTGCTTTGGGGAAGGTCCAAGACCCTCCCTACTATATCTAGGCTGAGCAAGGAATCCATCCAAAGAGAATGAATTCCCCGAAAGCCAGTACAAGCAGTAGAGATAAATCCTGGTGCCACTGCCAGTGGCCCCACAATCTGTCCCAGCCATATGGCTGTCACCCACATTCAGAGGGTCTAGTTTGGTCCCATGCTGATTCCTTTCCTGTCTGGCTGGAGTTGGTGAGCTCCCATTAGCTCAGATTAACTGTTTCAGTGGGTGAACCCATCATGGTCTTGACCTCTTTGCTCATATTCTCACTCCTCCCACTCTTCAACTGGACTTCAGGAGCTCAGCCCAGTGTTCCACTGCCGGTCTCTGCCTCTGCTTCCATCAGTTGCTGGATGAAGGTTCTAAGGTGACATTTATGATATTCATCAATCTGACTACAGGGCTAGGCCAGTTCAGGCACCCTCTCCTCTATTGCTTAGGGTCTTAGCTGGGGTCGTCCTTGTGGATTCCTGGGAATTTCTCTAGTGTCAGGTTTCTTGCTAGCCCCATAATGGCTCCCTCATACTACAAGGACATTTGTACAGCTATGTTTATAACAGCATTATTTGTAATAGCCAGAACCTGGAAACAACCTAGATGCCCCTCAACCGAAAAATGGATAAAGAAAATGTGGTACATTTACGCAATGGAGTATGCAATGGAGTACGACTCAGCAGTAAAAAACAATAACATCTTGAAATTTGCATACAAATGGATGGAAATAGAAAAAAAAACATCCTGAGTGAGGTAACCCAGACCCAGAAAGATGAACATGGTATGTACTCAATCATAAGTGGTTACTAGCTATAAAACGAAGGATAATGAGCCTATAGCCCATGACCCTAGAGAAGCTAAGCAACAAGGTGAACCCTAAGAAAAACATATATTTATTCACCTGAAAAGGGGAGATAGAAATTACCCCCTGACAAAATTGGTAGCATGGGAATATGGGGAAAAGGGAGGGCAGAAGAGGAAGAAGAAGGGAGAAGGGGAGGGAGGAGGAGAACTTGAGGGAATGGGATAGTCGAGATCGAGGAAGGACAGGGATGAGAGCAAGGAAAGAGATATTTTGATTGAGGGAGCCATTATGGGGCTAGCAAGAAGCGTGACAACATTTTAATGATGTCTTTTCTTATTTAAAATTATATAAATACATTGTCAACTTTGGGGTCACAGTTAGGAGTAAAACTAAATTATTGCTTCTTTAGGCCTTTGATTCCTATTGGTCAAATTTGTTTCTTATAATTTTCCTAATTGTCTTAATTCTAGTGGTGACAGAGAGAACAAGATGATACTGGCTTGTGTTTGTAAAGTCACATGTGCCTACAGATTCATGTGTACTTTGGGCATGAAGAGGGCCTTACAGGGTTGAATTACAGCAATATGGAGTAGTAGAAGCATGAGGAGGCAGGAGTGTATTAAGACCAGAAACGGTGGCTTTGGAACTGAGAATCCTTAGATCCAGATCTCAGTGTGCTGGCTTTGGAACTAGGTTCAAATCTCAGTTCACTTCTGACCAGTTATTGATTTTGTGAATGTTTTTTAGCCTGCCAAGCCTTGTTTTCCTTACTGTAAAGTGGGATCGGTTATACAATGATTTCCCATAGGGTGATGTTGGTTGGGTTCTATTAGGACATTGTTAGGCATGTATGTACCATTGTATTGTACTTAGCACCCTATGCTCCCCAATCTTACTGTCCCGGAGTTTCTGTGTCTACTGTTTCCTGTATTTATCTTTTCATTCTCCTGGAAAGAAACAAGAGACATCATTTTCACAGGGGAGTTCAGGGGCTTCCCACCATCTGGATTGTGGGTGTGGAAAAGTGGTCCCCCAGAGTTCCCCTGAATGGAGTGAAGTGGAGCCTGACTGTTCATGCCTGTTCATCTGCTAGATTAAGAACTGGGTTTAAGAGCTAACTTGAGTGTGTGATGACCTGTCTGGAAAGATGACTATAAGTCTCCACAGCTCCTAACCCTGTTTGTGGGTGGGTGTGACCTATAAGTCAAGGACTCAGTGAGATCAAACAACACTGTGGACATGGACAGAGGAATACAGTACTCAGTGGTGGAGGTGGATTTGAGTTGATGTCAGAAGATATTGTCTCTGGTCACTACAGTCTTGTCCTGGAGCCTCACATGCCCTAAAGAATATCTTCTCTATGAGGAGGAATCTTCTCTAGTACCCGTGTTTCCCCTCTTCTCCTGAACCCCAGGAGGGTCCTTAAGAGGCAGTATTCCTCACAGGTTAGAAGGAAGGTGGGATTTGGTCCATGAGTAAAGTCTATTTTCCTAGTTAGTACTGGGCAAATGGTCATGATCAACCTTTGTTGGAAGAGAGTGAATACTTTACAGAGAGAAAAGATCACCAGAGTTACTGTAGAGCCTAGCATGATACATCTTATAGAGATGACCACACTGCTGCCCAAACACAGCCAGGAACTGTTACTAAGCAACAGGGCAGGAGTTGGGTGTGGCTGTTTGGTCAATAAGAGTGCTCATTCTGGATGACAGTGTAAGAAGCCATAAACCTCTGTGAACAAGTATTTGAGAAATTTTCTTTTTTTCTAACAGAAATGTATTTGTTTAAAGATACTGCTGTTTTCTTAATTTAATTACATTTATTTAGTGTGTGTGTACATGTGCCTCTGCACATGTGTAGGTCAGAGGATAACTTGACTTGAGGGAGTTGGTTCTTTCGGGCCATGTAGATTCGAGGAATCTAACCTGGGTGATGGCAAGTATCTTTACCCGCTGAGCCATTTTGCTGTCTGTCTCTCAGATATTTAGAATGCACATTATCTTCCTAAAGGCTCCAAGAAGTCCGGTAGTGGAAAATCTTGCTTTCTAGGCTCTCTCAGTGTTTACCTCTTCACAGACCTGACATGGAGCTTTTGTTAGCAATGTTGAGTGGCTACACTTTGGAAAATGTACCAAGCTTAAAGCTTTCTTTCGGGGAGTCTTCCGTAGTTTGGGCTGTATCACAAATTACGTAGTTTGGATGGCCTGTAGATAATAGAAACTTTCTTGCTTGGTTCTTGAGCCTAAAAGTTTACATTCAGGGTTCTAGCATTATTGGATTATGTTGGGATCCTTCTTCTAGACTGCAGAGTACTTCAGCTTCCTGGTGGCCCCACAAAGTGGAAATAGATGAAGACAGCTAATCCCATTCATGAGGAATCCATCTTCATGACCTAGTAACCCACAAAAGCCCCACATTTAAATTCCTTTACATTAAGAATCAATGTATGGCCAGGTAGTGGTGGTGCATGCCTTTAATCCCAGCACTTGGGAGGCAGAGGCAGATGGATTTCTGTGAGTTCAAGGCCAGCCTGGCCAACAAAATCTAGTTCCAGGACAGGCACCAAAGCTACAGAGAAACCCTGCCTTGAAAAACCCAAAACAAGAAGCAAAACAGCAGCAGCAACAAAAATAAATAAAGAATCAATGTATGAATTTGTGGGGGCACAACATTCAGTTCATTATAGGTGCACTTAGAAAATGAGACTATTTTGCTAGGGATACAGAGCATATTTCTCTCCCTCTCCCTCCCCCCCCCCTTTCTCTCTCAGGTATATGTATGCATGTGCACATTTGTGCATCTGTATGTGGAGACTGGAGGATGACCTCAGGGTCAGCCTCAGTCACCCCTTTTGAGAAATTGTCTTTCATTGGCATAGATCTCACCAGTTAGGCTAACCTGGCATCTACCTGTCTGTGCCTTCCCAGTGCTAGGATTACAAACATGCTTCTATACCGTGGGTTCTTATCTGAGTTCTGGGGAATTAAACTCAGCTTCTTAAGTTTACAAGGCAAACACTTTACCAACTGAACCTTTCCCCACAACCTCAAGCATGTTTATTTCTTTAAGCTACTTGTATTCATACATTCATCAAACAGACATTTAGAGAATGACCCAGCACATTTGGCATCGTGAGGTCTTGTCTATTAGAATGAGATGAGAAACACAGCCTTGGCATTTGAAGCATCTGAGTCATCCTTATAGAACAGACTAAGTTCTCCAGAGCTGGCTGGAGAGTGGGCTAGGAGGGTGTGTGTGGATGGAGCAGTAGGAGCTACAGAGGGACCATTCTTGAAGCACAGGGACTTGCTGCTTGGATTTGAATTTTGTTAGAACTTAGGACCTTTCAAAGTGACTATAATTTAGAAATCTAGGCATGTGGTCAGAGCCAGCAGGCTGAGAATGTCTTAACTCCTCCAGTAGGACATTTGTAGAGGGAAGTAGGAAAACTGGTAGATTCTGATTTCTAGGATCTTCCAGGAGTGAAGCAGAAAGCCTTGGCTGGTCATGTGGTGATTTACTCTTGACCTCTCTGTCCCATTTCCTTTCCTGCACTTTGCCCTTTCTTGCCGGGAGCTACAGTCAAATGTATATAGTATACAGACTAGCAGATTTATATGACATGTATGTGTGTACTGTACTCTGTTTGAAGCCACCTTTCCTACTATGCCCTTACTTTTCTACTTGGTCCCTCTTCTGTGTTCCTCGTAGTGCCTCATCTATTTTCATGTCTTCTGTGTGTGTGTATAAATTCTGTATGAGAGAAAACATACCTAGTTGACTCTCTGAGACTGCTTTAACATGATTTTTTTTTCACTTAACATGATAACCCCTAGTTCCATCAATTTTCCTACAAATGACAGTATTTTATTCTTTATGACTCAATAATATTCTGATATGCATACATTTTAAAAAATCTGTTCATCAGTTGGCAGATATTTAGGTTGATTTTCTGTCTTGGTAACTGTGACTATTGCCACAGTCATCATGGGTGTGAGGTATCTCTACTGAGTGCTGACATCATTTCCTCCAGGTGTGTTTGCAGGAGTGGTGCAGCAGGGTCATATACCGGTTCTGATTTTAGCTTTTCGAGGAACCGCCATACTGTTTTCCACAGTGGCTATACTAATTTACATCCTACCCACAGTGTATTTTCTTTATCCACCATATTTGTTCTTTTATGATTGACATTCTGATTAGGGAAGATCAGTGTTTCAGCTTAGTTGATTTGAGAATATTATCTTAGAAAACTTGTTTTTATTGGTCAGTCCATTTCTGAGATCATACTTTTTATTCATAAAAGGAAGCTGAAAAACTAAGTCCTGATAAGAACCCTTAAGGGACTTAGGGGTTTTGGAGTGGCAGAGACTAGTTCTTAAGTAGAAGAAGCGAACATCTCACTTTGCCTTTCAACTCACCTAGCCACAGTCTGCCGGGACTTTCTGTTTTCTGTCATTTCAATTCCATTGGAGAATAGGTTCAGGAGAAGAGGCCATTGATGCCTTCAAAATCACTACCACTTCTCTGGTGAAGTGGCTCAGTGGTTAAGGTGCTTGCCATGCAAGTGTGAAGACTACAGCTCAGATTCCCAGGACCCATGCAAATGCGAAGTAGGTGTGATATCCACCTGTAATTCTAAGCCTCAGAAGACAGAGGTAGGGATCCCTAGAGTAAGCAGCCATGTCCATGAATGCTGGGTTTGATTGAGTGACCCTGCCTCGATGAATAAGGTGTCATAGGGATTGAGGATAATTCCCATCAGGTACCTCAGGCCTCCACATGCATTTGCACCCGTATGTGTTCATACTCTTGAAAATGCCAAGGACGCATAACACACATACTATGCATGGAAATGGAAACAGACAAATACAACTTCCTCCATTCAGTGAGATGACCGTGGTTAATATCATGTGGTGATTCTAATTGGCAGCACCTACCTTCAGGAGTAGGTGACTTGATGTTCCTAGATGTTTGTGAGTGGTTACGTTAAGATCGCTGTAAGAGTCAATGAGACTTTTAAAGGGCGTCATAGTGCCGGGCATGGAATAAACGAGCAGTTGTTATTGCTGTTGGTATTTATTGTTATCATCTAACTTTCATTATGTCATTATGTACTTGATGTGCTGTAAGCTTGTTCAAGGTCATAAAAGTGCTAAGAGGTGGAGCTGAACCCTGGACTTGTGCTGTCTGCTACTAATTTTTAAAGTTGTATTATGTAGACTCTCGTATTGCTGACAGATCATCGGTAAATAGTCTGAAAACCAATAGTAAAAGGCACTGGGGATGCGTTAGCCTCAAATTTAGTGGTGATTTGAAAAGCCTGCTTTTGGGTTGGCGTATTTCATCAGCAATGCTTCTATTCACTGTGTAAAAAGCTCTGGGTAAGGAGTTGTGGTCAATTTCCTGTTGGTTAATTGTTGCAGTGCTGATGTCCCTTTCACATAGGCACAGTGGATGCTGAGATTTCTTTTGTATCTGCTGCCCCCTCTATAAACTGTTTCAGAGGCCACGGTGCCCAGACAGCTGGTGCCTGTGGGTGGAGCTGATGGGCACTGCTGTTGATGGTGTTCTATCACGAAACAATAAACTTTGGAAACCTGTAAACAGGGACTGCGTTTTTGTTTCCTGGCTACCCAGACCCGAATAATCACACAAAAGTATATTAATTAATTTGATGGATGGCTCAGGCATATTTCTAGCTAGCTCTTACATTTTAAATTAACTCATTTCTATTATTTCATATTTTACCATGAGGTTTGTGGTATACTGGTAAGATTCTGGCATCTGTCTCCTTCAGCAGCTACATGGCGCCTGCCTGACTCCACCTTTTTTTCTCCCTCAATCTCTGTTTGGATTTTCTGCCTTGCTATATTCTGTCCTGACATAGGCTGAAGTAGTTTCTTTATTAACCAATGGTAATGAAACATATTCACAGCATACAGAGGGAATTCCACATCAACAGTTGTCTCTCCTGGTTATTCTCCGTGGGTTCCCTGACCTTCTTGACTCTGGTCTGACTGAACCTTGCTATTCGAGGTGAGTGATTACTTCCCTCCCAGGGAGGAGGAGTGTGGATTGTAATGACAGTTCTTTATAGACCAATTTCCTCGACAGTGGGCATGGCACATCCTGGGCCATTTTTGTTTTCTTGCTCTTCCACAAACACAGAAGATGGACAGCTTGCAGCAGGAAGCTCTGCTAGGCATTCCTTTCAGGTGTGGACTCTTTTCTCTCTGTTGTCTTTCTGACTGTAGATTGAGGAAACTCGGCTCAACATTGACAAGATCTCCGAGAGTGTGGAGGAAGCTAAGAAACTCTACAGTATCATCCTGTCTGCACCGATTCCAGAGCCAAGTGAGTGTTGACTGAGTTGAGTCACTCTGTACTGACCCTTTGCACTGCGGTTGAGACAGGCCTGATCTCCTCCCTGAAAAGAGCAGGGGAGCGTATACATCCCTTTGTGCTACTGTACATATCACATCACAGATCACCTCTCTTCTCTCTCCCCAAGCTCTCGTTCCAAGCCCCCACCAGGTCTTCTCTCCATAGTCCCACTTGAACCATTCAAACTCCTCTACTTCCCAGGTCAAAGGGCTCATGACTGGTAATGCTCCTCTTATACCCCAAGCCCTGTCCCAGCTTTGTGCCTTGGCTTGCATTCTTTCTTTTGACTGAAATGCTTTTTCCAGCCCCCTTGCAGAATCCTACTGGATCAAGTTTATTTTTATTCGTTCTTTTCCTTAAGAGGTTGTTCTGGAATGGTTCAAGTTGGCGAAGTCCCTTCTGTCTCTTCCTTGCATTTGTTCCTGCTGTTGAGGCAGCCTTTTGTTCCCCTGGGTGTTTTATATTTGCAGAATACAGTTTAGTACAGTCTTTTATGTTCCTAAGAAAAGCGGACTGTCTGCTCCTGTTCCCTGCCTTTCTTTGCTCAGTGGCTCTTCAGTTCCTGAGCATATGGGGACTGTCTCCTCATGTTCCCACCTTCCTCTCCACCCTTTCTCTTGCCACCCTGCTCCATCCTGCTGGTACTTTCCTCATGCTAACCTCTGGCTGTTCCTTGCTCCCTTATGTTCTTTATATATCATGCTTTCTCCTTGAAATTCCTGCTCTTAGTCCCCTTGGCTACATAGCTAACCTATAATTTTTCTTTTTAACTAACTAACTAACTAGCTTGCTAACTAACTAACTAACTAACTCTTACCATTTGCTAACCTGTAGTTTTTTTATTTTTATTTTTTTGTTGTTGTTGAGACACAGTTTTCCTGTTTCTGCCTTTTAGGGGCTCTTCTGGATCCCTTGAGGCTGTGCTAGGGATTCTCCATAACCATCCCATGCACATCTTGCTCAGAACTGAAACCATACCTTGTGCTAACTATCCAGACTTCTGATGTACTCCCTATTCATCTCCTGCCATGCTCAGCCCCTTGAAGGTGGAAACTGTAGCTTTTCCTTGATCCCTTAGTTTCTCAGTTCCAAGTATGAATGGAACTGAAAGATGGTTTTGAAATGAAAGGTTATGGCTATGGCTCTTGTTTAATTTGTTCTATAAGCCCACCAGAGTACGGTGCTCCATGCATCAGTTAGGACAGCTCTGGGCATGTAGTAGGTACATCATAAATACTTGCCTCATTTAAGTTGAGGGCTTTGTTTGAAATTTCTTTTCCCCAGAACTTCCATAGACTCCTCTCCTGTCACCTGAGATTGAGCACACATGACAAACAGGTTGATTCCTCTAACAGTGTGACTTGTATTGGGGAGGCTCATTAAGTAAAGCATATCCTAAGCTCTAACCCTGGGGTATTTGGTTCTTTAGGTCTGGGGTGGGGTGCCTGGAAAATGTCTTTTGATTTAGTTAATTAATAATTTATTTTGGATATGAGGGATTGAACCCAGGGCTTGGTGCATGCTAAGCGTGTGAGCTACCACTGTGCCTTCCCTTAGTCTGAAAGTGCTTTAAGAAGAAAAAGGAGAAAAGAGAAAGCAAAACCATCTTCCTGTGACTGTGGTGGTGGATCCTGGAAAGCCCCCTGAGATGGAGGTGCCAGCGGGTGTCTGAGAAAGCTTCTGCCTGTTGCTGTTGATTTTTGTAACTCAGAGCAGTTCCTCCTCTTTTCTATCTGAGCCTTCCTCTTCTGTTTATCCAGAAACCAAAGATGACCTTGAACAGCTCACAACTGAAATCAAGAAGAGGGCCAACAATGTCCGGAACAAGCTGAAGAGTAAGAAGGGAACACAGGAATAAGCCAGTCTCTGCCACAACCAGAGGCAGCTTCCCAGGGCTCACTTCCCATCTGCCAGTCATCTCAATGGGGGTGACATCACTTGTCCCATTCTTACTGGAGGCTTGGGCACTGTTCCTGGCCTGACCTACTATATCCTTAGATATTTATTGCCGCCTGAATTCTCACTGTAGTTGAAAATGCCCAGAACTGAAGTTAGGAAGTGGGAGTTAAGATGAGCTTTCCAAGCCACGGTGGTGGTGTGTGTCATTAATCCCAGCACTCAGGAGGCAGAGACAGGTTTATCTCTGTGAGTTTGAGGCCAGCCTGGGCTACAGAGTGAGTTCTAGGACAACCAGAACTGTTATATAGAGAAACCCTGTCTTGAAAAGCAAAACAACAACAAAAATCAAAACCAAAAATCCAGCCCAAACAAAAACAGAATATATATGCTTTCCTCTATATTATTTTATTTTAGCTTAGTCCTTCCATTCTTTCTTACTGGCTCCCCAGCACCATGTACATTTGAGAGGTAACTGCAGAGTCTTACAGGGTCTGTCATTCAGCCAGCAGACATTCCTTAATGCGTACCTTCTCATTCCTGCCTCCTGTCCTGGTTTTGGAGCACAGCTCAGAAAAGCTACTATCATAGACCCAATCTTCCTGGGAACCCCAAATGCTTGCTTATTTCCACAGCTGAAATCTCTGTTCCCATTCAAAGTACTTGTTGAGTTTGTGTTATTGGTCAGAGAGGAAAGCAGTATGATTTCTTCCCTTCCGATAAATTATAACAGTTATTTTAATGGGTATGGAGAGGAAGACAACTTCTGAAAACAGTGACAATATGGCTGTCCCCGGGCTAAGCAGTTTATTTGAATTTTGCGTTGGTATTTTCAGAAGGTTCAGGCTGAGTGTCCTTAATCTAAAACTTCCAAATTTAAAATATTCCAAAATCTGAGCTATTTTGAGCATTCACGTGGCACTGTAAGTAGAAATTTCACACCTAACCTCCCAAGTGCACTGCAGAGATACTGCAGAATTATCTCCAAGCTCTAAGGTGTACGTGAAGCACAAATCCGTCCTGTCTGCTCCGTCTATGCAAGTCTTCCAAATTTAGGTACAATCGGAGGCACTCCTGGTTCTAAGCATTTCACGTAGAGGGTGCTCAGTTTGTGTGGCTACCTCTTCCGTTTTATTTACAAGAGGACGGGTGGCTGAAAGGGGCTACGTGGTTTTCCCTGTGTTATCCTGCTAGTCCGTGGCTGGGCGAGGGTGAGCGCCTCAGTTCCTCGATGGCCTGAACGGCACTCTTAGTTGTGTTGCAGAGACTTGGAAATCACATGGGCGGATGAGAGCAAGCGTCCAGCGCATGGAGTAGATGCTAACTTTTTGCAGTCGTCCCTCCCTGTTGACCACCGTCACGGCCCCTGTGTGTGAGGACAGGCAAGGAATCTGCATGGATAGGGTGCTGTGTGGAGGGGAGGATGGATGTGTTGCTAGGGTAACTCTCTCACTCCAGGTATGGAGAAGAATATTGAAGAAGACGAGGTCCGGTCCTCAGCAGACCTTAGGATCCGAAAGTCCCAGGTAACTTTGTTTCTGGTTCAACAGTCATTTTCTTGTCACTCTTTTAGTTACTTTTCACTATTGTGCGTTAAAAAAGTATGATTCTGTTGTATTGGAACTCAGTTTGAGGAACTGGGAAAAGGGAAGCATCCAGGTGGAAGCAGCGCTCAGGGCCCATGTTCCCTTTTGGCCTTCTCTCACACTCAGGAGGCACTCAGAGTACTTCCCTAGATTCTTCAGAGCTCAGCCTCAGCGCCTCCTTGTTTTATAGGCAGAGAAACTGATGTCTTTCTTCTACAGACTGTTGTTAGTAGTTGTCCGGTTAGGAGTCACTGAAACACGATCCTTGTCCTATGAGAACTGATACAAAGCATAACTCAACACTTGGGAGGCTGAGGCAGGAGAACTGCCAAGACTACAAGGCTACCCTGTCTGAGCTATAGTGTGAAAACACTAAGAAGTAAAAACCGTATAGGATAAAAAGGGAGGCGCTTGATATGATGTTTAAGTGGTAGAGTAAATGCTACCTAGCAGGAGAACAATGGAAGAAGACATAATTGAGTGTATGGTCACCTCGCCACTAAAAGATCTCATGGAGAACTGGGGGTGTAGCTAGGGAAGACTGGGTCTTGGGGAAGCAAGAGTGCCTCTGTAGACAGGCTCAGGAGGCAGTTTCCCTTTTTTTGAGAGGAAATAAGAAATAGGATCAGGGGTGAGTATGTTTGTGCACATGCGTGTTGGCAGCAGCAGAGGCGTGGTGCTGGTGGCAGTGGCTAGAAAGGTGGTGGCGGCGGCAGCGGCAGAAGGTTGAGTACAGGGCAGATATAACGGGAATAGCCTGTCTTGAGAAAAGAGTTTGTTGCTGGGTAGCAGATGCTGACCTTCCAGCAGAGAATGTAGCATTACCCTCCAAAGGTCTTTACTAGTTGAGGGAATTTGGATCGGATTCAGTAGCTGACAGTCAGTTTTTTCAGGCCACACACCCTGCTAGGGGGATTTAATAGCCTTTTGGATGTGAGTGGGGAAGAGGCAAGAGCCTGGGAGGCTCTTACTTATGCTTTTGCAGTGATTTTGTCTGCATTTACAAGAAATAGTGCATTTGGTTTAAAAAAAAAGGCATCAGTAGGGCTGTGAGGTGGGCAATGAATTAAGATTATTATGAAGGTCTGTTGAGAGAAAAATGTCTATTTGTAAGCAAGAGAAGTTGAGATTGTCAGCTGGGGTAAGAACTGTAGGATCTTTGACAGGCATTACATGTGGGAAGAAGGGTGGGTGACAACTTCCGCCAAGGCTCTGGTGGAGCCTTGCTGCTGGGCTCCCAGGTTCTCAGTGATTTCCCCTTTTGAGTAACATTTACTATGCGAGTTCAGTAAAGGGGGAAACGGGTAGTGGAGGCTACACATTGAAAGTGGCAATGGACTCTTCCCATAGCACTCAACTAGGAGAGCAACACTGGGATTGCATTTTGCCTTTGGGTTTCAAGCCCAGGCTGCTGCAGAATAGACTGTGCTGGGGTGGAACAGAGTTGTGCACCATCTCCTGGGGGTTCGCTCATTTGACTTTGTTTCTGTAGCATTCCGTCCTCTCCCGGAAGTTTGTGGAGGTGATGACAAAGTACAACGAGGCTCAGGTGGACTTCCGTGAACGCAGCAAAGGGCGCATTCAGCGGCAGCTTGAAATTAGTATGTGTTTGAGGTTGGGCCAATGTCAATCCCTCTCTTTTCCTGTTGTGTGGTTGTTCATCCCAAGTCCTGGGACAAGCAACAGTGACCCTGCTGCTTGTGCCTTCTGCATTCTATTTGGTGCTCAAACACAGGGCAGATGCTATGGGATTGGTATATCTGCGATATGGTATCCTTGGTTGGAAGGGGTTCCATTTGTTCAGCCAAGGAATTTTATTCTTATGGGATCCAACAATTAATGCCTGCAGGGGACACCCATCAAATAGCTGCTCTCCTGAGAACTCATTGCATTTATGTAACAAAGGTGTAGTGCTAGTTGCTGTGAAGAATTAAAAAATTAATAAAGTCACATTGTTTAGGAATTTAGTGATATGGAAGGGTAGGCCTTACAAGGAAAATGGCTTCAAGTGGGAGAAGCTGTGTGAGCAAAGAATTATCAAGAAAAAGCAGATGTGTTTGTCTAGGAGTGGCAGGCTGTCCAGGTTTGGACGAAGGGTGTGTTTGAAGCTGCAGTGTAACGTGGAGGGAGGGCTGCCCACAGATTGTGCCCTGTCATGAGGGCCTTGGGCTCTGAGGTATGGTGGTTGGGGCTAATAAGCAGTCTGATCTGAGAAGTAATGGGGTACGTGCTTAGGGTGGGGATTGGCTGCTGCTAATGTTAAGGATGGGTTGAATTGGGAGAGGAATCAGAAGAGTCAGTAGGTTGTTGGAGACAGTGCTTGGGAGGGAATTTCAGATGGAGTTGTGCTTTGATCTTCTGCTCGATGTTTGTTTCTTTTGTTACCAAGCTGGCAAGAAGACAACAGATGAGGAGCTGGAAGAAATGTTGGAGAGTGGTAACCCTTCCATCTTCACTTCCGGGGTGAGTGACCACGGCACCATGGACAGGGAGGGTCATGGGGGAGATTCATTGCCTTGGCTTCATCGTAGTTGTAGCTGTGCAGGGGCGGAGCTTATGTGGGTGGGAGGGCTCTGCAGCGGCAGTCTGTTACTAGGGCTGCTGATGGCCTGTCTCTATGGGGCCTGTTGTAGATCATCGACTCGCAGATTTCCAAGCAAGCCCTCAGTGAGATTGAGGGTCGGCACAAGGACATCGTGAGGCTGGAGAGCAGCATCAAGGAGCTCCATGACATGTTTATGGACATCGCCATGCTGGTGGAGAATCAGGTAGCTGGCTGGGGGAAAAGCACACCTTACCCTGAGAACCATAAATGACATTTTGGAGGTTCAGTGAGGCCGGGAATATGGAATTTTCACCATGGGGCAACAAAATTCTAGTGTCTGAGGCAGAGGTGTGCGTTCTTATCAAGTGTTGGCATTTGAGCCATTTCAATCTTGTTATTTCTGCTTGTTACTTTGGTTCACAGTGATTCTAGTTAGTAATGAAGTTTTTGACAAGAACATGGTTCACCCAGCATCTCCCCCACCCCGCTTCTCCTTCCCCCTTCCCCCTTCCCTTCCCCCTGTAAAGACACGGGGGTTCTTTGGCTGGGGAATGTATCGTTCAGTTGACAGGATGCCTGCCTAGCACTCATGAGGCCTTGGATCTAAGCCGTCTTCCAGCCCAGGTGTAGCAGCATGTACCTATAATCTCAGCACTCGGGAGATGGAGACAGGCCAATCAGGAGCTTAAGGTTATCTTCTAGTACAGAACAAGTCTGAGGGGCAGCCTGGGCTACATGAGACCCACCCTTCCTAAAAAAGAGTTAAGTCTTGCTGACAAAGCTTTGACAGTCAGCCTACTGATAGCAAATTATTTTACTGAAAAATTTTTTCCCTCCAATTCACCATAGAAATTACTTTTTCGTTACTTTTTCCAGTTTCGTTTTTATATTTCTCTTTTGCTGAGCATGTTGGCACTTTTTGCTAAGAATCAACGGTAGGCATGAGGGAAGAATTAGGAAAAGAATATTTATAGAAACACAGGACTGGACAGTTCATCCCACGGCATGCCTGCTTAGGGTGAAATTCGATATTGCGTGTATATGGTCTTCATGTCTGTCGGATGTTTTGTCCGTGGTTCTTGGGATAGAGTTAGACATCCTGCAGCTGCCATCAGGAACTTCCGGCTGTTCAGCCATTTGGACAGAACTGGAAACTCTCGCTTAGTGGGCAGACCACTGAACCTCGTTGAAGCCCCAACACTGGTTGAGTAGTGTTTAGTTAGTTCTCTGCCCCTTGGTGTGCTGCTGTTCTCCCATTCCTCTTTCTGGCCTTTGAGACCTTTTCTCAATCCCTCTATTCCCACTTTTCTTTTTTTCCCCACCACATTGCCTTGCTGAGGATCTGGTTTGAGTTTCAAGCTATGGTAAGTGCCTTGCTGTGTTTACTGAGAGCCCTATGGTGATGGGGTGGGGTGAGGGAGGGGAGTGCCCTACTTCAGATTCTCAGGGAGTAACTGGAGTGACCAAACTTCCTTCAGAGGAAGTAAAAGCTGGGGAATAATTGGGAATCTTTTAAAGAGACTAGTGTCTAGAGGGGAAGAGAGCAGGGGAAAACCCAACACTTGCTGCTTAAGGAGCTTGGGAATTTCTCTTGAAGAACATGAGTACTTTCTACTGTTGCCAGCCTGATACTTCCTGACTACCTTTTATGTGCCAGGCGCTGTTTTATAGTGCTGAATAAACTCACTCTAGGCTGAATGAACTTGGTTTGGATTTGAATGTCCAAGAAGGGGCCAGCATCCTGGTGATATTCTGAAAATAGATTTTCTTATTTTGGTTTATCCCTATATGCTTAAAAGATAAGGAAATGAAAGAAAACTGCGAGAGAGGGAATGTCTTTGTGTATATTTACACAGTCACTAAGCCTCTAGAAAAACGGTTTCAGATGTTCAGCATAGTGCTGATCTCAAGGAAGTAATCCAGTGTTTATGGAATGAGTGACCACACAGGGACTGGGGACTAAAGGGGAAGCTTGCTCGATGGAAGGCTGTGCTCTAAGGTTTCTCTGTGTGTCTTAGCATGGGAGACTATTGAGTCCCTTCACAGCTGGGGCTGTTGTGGGTGGGTTAACAGGTGTGGCTTGTGTCTCCTTTTCAGGGTGAGATGTTAGATAACATAGAGTTGAATGTCATGCACACCGTGGACCATGTGGAGAAGGCACGGGATGAAACTAAAAAAGCCTTGAAGTATCAGAGTCAGGCTCGGAAGGTGAGGTTTTCCTTTTGTCTGGAGACAAGAGAGTCCATTTTTTTTTTTTGCTACTGCGCTTTCTCTCTCCCCTCCTTCTGTCCATTTCTGTTGCCACCACATCCTGCATCTGGGGAAAGGGAGCCATGATTGACCGTATTGAGAACAACATGGACCAGTCAGTGGGCTTTGTGGAGCGGGCTGTGGCAGATACCAAAAAGGCTGTCAAGTATCAGAGTGAAGCCCGGAGGGTGAGCGCCTCAGTCTCTATTGTACCTTCTCTTCCTGTCTTTTGTCACCTTTATGCCTCCGTCCTTGAGCCCATGTCCTTCTCTGTCCTACCTCTTCCAAACCTCTACCTTAGTCTTTCCTAGAGACTTCCTTCCCCGGGCACCTTGCATGGATCTGGCTCTCACATGCTTTTGTCCCAAGAACCAAGAGCACCCCTTTAGGCTGGAGACATGCCCTAGGTCTTGTCACTAATCTCCTGAATGCAGCTTATTACCCGTTAACACATTACACAGCCCCTCCGATTTTTGGTAACATCTTCCACCTGGCCTAGCATTCTTTTTCTTTTTCTCTAACTTGAACCTAGCGCAGGTGCTAATTGTTATGTAAAAGTTACCATTCGTTCATGGAAGCACCTCCTTTCTTCTGGATGAAGCAATTTGAGGGTCAGAGGGTCAGTCGCTGGCTTCAGACCACCCAGCAGTCCAGGAGATGAGCTTGACATTCACAGCCTACTCATACCCTTTCCACTGTATCGTTGTGTCTGCCTGCCCTCCTGGCCTATGCCCTCCTGACCTATGCTCAGGAACTTTGAAGCGTCTGTCCTCATTGACTGTGGACATCCAGCTATGGCAACTTCCACCTTTTACTCTTCTTCGTTTCTCTTGGGCTCTGATACGTTTATTCTTTAGTTCTTTCTCTTCCAACTGCTCCTATTGCTTCTGCAGATATTCAGGGAGTTGGCAAGTTATTTTTCTTCTGAATCTATGCTAAATTGCACTTTGGACACCTATAGTATATGTAGTCTGAGGTATATACTGGACTTTTAAGGGGGCAGATGAATACAAGTTGGTAATTGGGACTATGTCAGAGATACCTTTGTGCTCCCAGTTGAAAAGGCAAACATATGTTTTACGGATTGGTCACGTGCTGCTTGGAGACCTCATGATATAGCTTGCCATGAGTGCACTCCAGATTTCAACTCACTGGCTAGGCAAAAAGGAATTTAAAGAATGTAAAATGTACATGAGAACATTTTTATATAGAGATGTGTATTTTTTATTTGGATTGAGAATTTTTTTTTCTTGGCAAAAGAGAAGGGCTAAATTTTAGATGAGTTGCTATTTTATAAGCTTTTTTGTAATGATTTTATTTTTGTTTCTTATTCCTTTCTCCAGAAATTGATAATTATCATTGTGATAGTAGTTGTGTTGCTGGGCATTTTAGCATTGATTATTGGACTGTCCGTTGGGCTGAAGTAAGAGTGGCCTAAGGGGCTGCTGCACTGAAATGTAAGTAGATGAATGGTCCTGGGGCCTCTGGATGACTCCTCCTAAGGAATTAGTCTGGGAATTCAGGATTCTGCTCTTTTCTAATGACAGTCACAGTGAGCTTTAAAACTGTTGGTAGCCTTGATTGTTTTTCATTTTCTTAAAATTCCATTCTTGGGTTCTGGCTGTAGCTGTAGGATCTTGTTCATGCCGTCTGTTTGTTTGTAGCCACCTGAATATTCTGTTCCTACCTTGTCTTCTTGCTTGGCACACTTGAGCATCTCATTTTGACTGACTGTATGCAGAAAGCATAGGTAGATGTTGGGTATGATCTGAGAGCTGTCTTCTAAATCCTCAGTAGCCGTCATAGATGCTGGGCTCAGCTTTCCTTGTCCTTTTTCAACATAACTGAAGCTTTATGCTGTGGCTTCTGGCCCTTAAGAGTTATGTTTGTGGCTGAATGACTGGCTCTTGAATGAGGTACCTGTAACATTTTTAAGTGTTGACTCATAGCAGAGAGTCTGCTAAACACCTTATACATATAACAGAATCCTTACAACATTCTTATGAGGCAGGTCATTTTATTTTAGAAGTAGAAAAACTCAAGTCTTAGAGAACGGTCAAACTCACACAGCTTATAGTGGGTCCAGGAGGTGCTCCATCTTAGTTTCCCTTCATAAAACAAGGTAGTGTTTATCACTGTCTATAAAGTCCAGAGAACTCTGTGCTATCAATCAAAATTTATTAAGATGTAGCTGGCCAGTAAATTAGGCTTAACTTCAGTGAACATGATAAAAATGACCTAGTGGTTCTTGGGACTTAAGAGCTTTATTTTTTTTCTGAATAAAACAGAGTATATGTCATTTTGAAAAGCTTGTAAGATATAGGCAAGTGAAGTTACCTTGTAATATTATTTGTCCAAACACATGGCAGGCTCACACACTCTCCGTTTTGCATAGTTCACACTGTATTAATATATAGTGTTTTTATATAGTTAGGAACTCATAAAGTCACTCTTTATCACGAAAATCTTGTTGTAAATCTAATTCTCAACATGAGGACATAGAACATTTCCTCAGTGCTGGAGTTTATAGTATTTTTCTATAAATACATCACATTAAATGTGATGAACTTTGTATTTTCTTTTCTTTTTTTCTGTAAATTCAGGAATTAGATGACTGAGGTAACAGGCATGAACCTCTCTGAGAGCTGGTGCAGGCGTGGATGCTGACACTGGGGCTGATCTTGCATTTTACTTTGTCCCACCCTAGTGTTCCACTACATTTTCCCTCTTTCCATGTGACTGGAGAATCTGAGAGTCTGTTATTAAATCTTAAATGCTCAGTCTTACACTGAGAGACAGCAGCAGTGAGGCGGTCAGGCTCTCCTTGGGTCTTTCGATCCCTTCTTTTTCCTGACATCATTATAGCCCTTGATTATTTATAAACTTTTAGTTTTCTGCTCAGTCTTGACTATCTCAATGCAAAATATGGTAAAATAATAAAATTTAATGTAATCTTTCCATATCCTCAGATGAAAGATGCCTTGCAGATTCTTGATGCCTTTTAACCCTCATTCCTAGAATTCAGAATGCAGAAGATGCATTTTTGAGGAATATAATATTACTTTTTGAAGACTAACCAGACTGCACAGCATTAAGCTGCTCTGAAGTTATGTGACTTATTGTGTGTTCAGTATTCCCTAGTAAAGGCAAGGTTGATTGGCACCTAGGTCTTGGCTTACCGGTCTTCCATGCCAATTCATGACTGAGGGCAATCTGCGTTGCATGCCAGCTACAGTGCTAAGATGCATTCTGTGCCCCTAACTTCCTGAAAGCCACTGGAGAAACTTGCCCACTCTTACATCACTTTTAAGATGAAGCAGTCATAGTATAACACCTGATATTTTCCATAGTGTTTTGATTGTGCCTGTCTCCTTCTTATGTGAAGGGAGAGGATTTGGACATATGATGCTCCTGAAGCTTGAATTCAAGAGCTCCCACGTGCCAGGCAGAGAACAGGTGTTTTCAACTAGTGATTGTGTATCCCCATGTCCTTCTACAGGTGATAGTTTGTGGCACAAAGGCTTATAAGTGGCCTAGATATTCCTTGGTTCTACTTTTAAATAACTGAAATACTTTTAAAATTAGTGTACAAAGTAATGGGGTTCATTATGTCATGTCTGTATTTTTTGTTAATCCTCCTACTCTGGATCCTCCTGCCTCCTGCTGGGTCCCCAACCCCAGTCGCTCTCTGTTCTCCTTTCAGGCACATGTATTCTATCGTTGGTATCCCCCCTCTACTACCACTACCATGGTCCCTTTACCTAGAGCAGTGATTCTCAACCTGTTGATTGCGACTCCCAAAAGATCATGAGAAAACACAGATATTTATAATTCATAACTAGCAAAATTACAGTTATGAAGTAGTAATAAAAATAATTTTGTTTGGGGTTTGGTCACCACAACATGAGGAACTGTATTTAAGGGTTGCAGCATTAGGAAGGCTGAGAACCACTGCCCTGGAGTTTTTACTGGTTCTTTCACAATACAGATCTTGTATTCCACATGTCCAGCCTTAGGCTTGTTTCTGGGCTATTTCAGTTTAGTGTTTCCTTCTGCATGCTTTCTCGTAGGCATTTCTGATCTTTGATCCACATTTGGGGTTTGTGGCTAATTCCTTGTTTTTAGCATTGTCCTGTGTACTGATCTGTCCCCTTCTCCCCACCTCTCTTAGAACCTGATTTCACTCCAGCTTGGCCTGACCACTCTTGTCTCCGGATGGGAATGGAGTCTTAATGGCCTTTCTGAGAACGAGGGGCACCTGTTCCTTTATTTCCTTGTAACCACCCTTGGATCTGGCTCAGCAATCCCTGGAGGAATCTAACCTACCTGATGCAGCCCTGAGTTCTCCTCAAAATCACCTCCCACCCTAGCAGCTGAAGTACCCTCCCTCCTGGACTGTGAAGCACCCAGCTTTTCCTCCCATCTGGTGTGTCAATTATGCCTTGTGTGTTGGAAAGTGCCTGTGAGACCAGCCTGAGGCGCTGTTTTTCTACCTCATAGAACATTCTCCTGGAATATACTTTGTAGGGGAGTAATTAACAAAATAGAGGGGTTCTTCTAAGTTTGTCAGTAGTGTGGCTTGGATCAGAGCCCCGAGCTGGCAAGATGCTAGTCCTTAGTTTGTTGTCCTGTGTCCTGAAAGCGTGAGGGACTAACAGATGCCATTTTGGCCTTATATGTTGACTTATTTGAAATCCACCCTTTAATTAAACTCCAAGTTCAGCATGCAGCCCACTTTGAATTTTCTCTGTATTCTTGTTTACTCAGAGTGATCAGGGTGACAGTCCTCTGAAGCTGTCGTGGGCAGAGACTGAGGTTATGGGATACGCCTCCATGTCTGAGTCTTGGGAACTGGCTAGTCATTGTTAGAGAATCATTCTTTGTGAAGCTATTACTTTGAGGCCAAGAAGAACCAGGGATTTACAACTGGGCCAGGGACAAGGTGCTACAGTCTCAGGCTCTGAAAGTCAGTCATTTGTGTGTTCCAGGTGTACTTTTATAACTGTATGTGAGAGATATGTACATAACTGTCTGCCTCTAGGAAAACTAGAAGATACTCTGATCTCAAAAAAAAAAAAGAAAGAAAGAAAGAAAGAAAAAAAAGTGACAAGGTAAACAATAGACTTAGGCTAAAATCAAGTAAGGGACATGTGTCTGGCTCAAGTGATCACTGTAGACATGTGATTTTCCCCTTGCCATCACAGAGCTTGTGTTCTGGATGGCTGCTGAGACGGGAATCAAATGAGACCTTTGAAGTAAGGACCGAGTTGATTCCCATTGAATTTACCTGCATAGCAGATAGTGTAATATTTATTTATTCCCATCTGCTACCTACAAGAGAGTGGTCCAGAGAGCATCCCGCAGCTACCTGATGTTATCTGCATTATCCATATGATGTCCCTCTCTGGCAGGCTTCCTGCTCTCTTGTCTCCTGCAAGTCTTATCATGGAGGCAACAGCCTGGAAGTCTTTATTTAGTGATTGCAACCCAGTGGTAAGCCTTAGACCTTTGGTGGTTCCTGCCAGTATCCCTGATTGGATAATTAAGACCCAACTTTAATATTTTGTGAGGCAGGGAGAACATTCTAATCCAGACCCTGCCCATGAGCTTCCTTTGTAAAGGCTCTTTCTTCAGTCATCCAGACAGAGCCACAGGGATGCCCTCCTCCCTATGGCTGTGATGTCTGACTGGACAAGGGCCCCCAGCTAGGAGGGGAGATAACCCTCAGTGCAGGCCTTCTCTCTCCTTTGACCATGAGTTTGGGGGGATAAAGGTTTGAAACGAATGTCACATGTGAAGGGCTTTTGTTGTTTGTATTTTTTAAAATGTAAACTTGATTATTTTATTGCTAATTTAAAAATAAATGACTTTATATTGATTGCAAAACACTTTGGTGATTTGGTGCCACCATGTGGTGACTTTTGGTGCCCCAGAAGAGACTGCCACTCAACATGATCTAGTAGGAAATATGGGACTTGTTGGGATGCTCTCCAGAAGGCAGAAAGGGCAAGACGCAGATCCCTGTGGATATGATTAAGTCTAACCTGGAAACAATCCTGTGAACAGGCCAGATCCATCCATTTTCCTTCTGGCGTTTCCTGTCCCCTCCCTCTCCCACGTCTAGCTGTACCCGTCTCTTTGGTCAGTGTGTATCTGCACAGTGATGCTGTTTCTCATGTAATTCTCTCTCCTTATGATGAGCAGAAGAAGATCATGATCATGATCTGCTGTATTATCCTTGCCATCATCTTGGCTTCCACCATTGGGGGCATATTTGCCTGAAGAAGGTGAGCTGTCTGGGTGAGGGCGGGCCTGCTGTCACTTACTTAACACCTTATCTTCTCCTTGCTCTCGTTGTATGTCACCAGATTGCCTAATAAGGGGTGGGGGTGGGCGCAGGACTAGGTGAATGGTAGAGAAAATCAAGGAAAGGGATGTTTTGGGAGAAGTAGGTGAGGAATGACTGGGAGTAGGTTGTCAGGGAGATGGGAGACAAGGTAGGAGTCTGCCCCATGATTGAGTCTGGTAGGATAGTGATTCTGAACAATAAGGGTGTTCATTCCTCTTGTACAATCTCAACCCTTGTATTTAGAAATGGTAAAAGGAGTAAGAATTAATTTTTGTATTGAACTTGCCTTAAAATCCCCATGTCCAAGGTTAGGACGAACCAGTAGTTTTGAGAGTAGTTTCTCACCCCTGCAAAGGAGAGTTGGTATCCTGTGCATGAGTACCATGCTGTGTAATACATAATTTTCCTTTCCCTTTTCTGTTACTTCCTTCCGCCCTCACAGATGGAATCTCAACAGGCATCTTCAGTCCTCCACCTCTCTGGTGCCATCACTTCTCCCCTTCAGAGTCCTCAACAACTCCGCCTCTTTTCATTAGTAAACTTACAACACAGGGCACCAATCAACTGTTTTTCAATGTTACAGAGGGGGAAGAAATGAACTGAAGGCGGTATGGATGAAGGAACAGGGAGCGCAGCAATGTGCAGCTGGTTTAGAAGTTCTTGAAGGGCAGGCTGTGGTGGAGAAGCACAGTGGCCCCTGCTAGGGTCTAACACAGAGCCTGAGGGCCAGGACAGTGGAGAGTCAGGTGATGTACATGCCGCATTCATGGGGTCTTCAGTGCACTGAGTCTGTCTCACAACATGGTACTCAGTACTTTACTCTAAAGGCTCTTCTAGGCCTCAACCTTAGCCAACCATGTCTGCTTCCTTCTTCAGGGTCCAAGAATAATTTTAAAGCCTAGACTGTTTCAGGATTGGCACCATGCCTATCTTTACCACCACCATGTCCCTACTGCTTAGCACAGTGCCTGCCACCTTCACATACTCGCTTACTTGTAGTCAAGCTTTGATTTCATTCATGGAAGAGTTCTCAAGCTTGGTTTTTAAACTCTTTAAGGTATCATAGGGAACATGGTTTATTGCTATCAGAGGCTTATGCAAAATTACCACAAACACCCCCATTACCATATCATACTCTTTAAAGTGTCTTTCTTTGTGTGTGTGGGGGGGTAAGTAGAAGTTGGGTTTCTATTGGTGGTATAGATTTCTATCAATAGCCTCTCATTTGGCAGAGATGGTGGTTGGTTTCAGGATAGAGGTTCACTAACTTCATTCCTTCACCAAAAGGAAGAAGTTTATACTATGATTCAGTTCCCAATAGCCAACCAAACCAGCACACTTTGTGATCTGGAACAGTGGGAGGTGTAAGGGAAAAAAGTGTGATCAGGCTATTGCTTCCGACCACACCAGATCGGTGTTAGCAGAAAAAGCTGGTCAGTGACAGGTGCAAGAAACTGGTTCAAGCACATCTCCAATCCAAGGTTTCACTGTGTTTCGATTTTAAAAATATTTATTTAGAGATTATTATATTGGAGACACTCATTAAGATAAAAATCTGGGACTAAAAATATCCTTTTGAAAGTGATATATTTCTGTTCTTTGTTGGAGATCTTAATTTTTTCAAAAACAGGATAAAAAACCCCAATGTTTTATCAGTGTGCTATTTTCTACCCACCTTCAAAAGCAAGTGGTCTAATACTTCTACCAATTCGTGTTTCCTTTAGTCTGAATAGGAGATACTGGCTAGCTCAGGAAAACAGGTTAATCTTGTTACGTCCAGATGGAGCTGGAGCCATGAGGTTTTGGATCACACAGGACCCTCCTTTATCCAGCAGTAAGTTGTTTGCTCCACACACATTAGATCCTGAAGGGACACAGAGCCAGAATGCCCTTCCTTAGATAGTTTAGGACCTAGGAAGCACCAAAGGTTTCAACTTTTGTTATCTTTTTTTTTTTTTTTTTGCTAAATGGTACATTCCTTGTCATATTCCATGTTTCCCCTTCTGAGACTGACAGAAAATGAGCAGCTGGGTATTAATAAATATCTGTTGAACCTACTAATCTAGGTACTGTCATTTTTATCCTTATTATTCTAAAAAATGTGCTTATAATGAGCAAAATGTCATAAACTAGGCAGTGAACACATTTGTATTTCCAGCTATGAGATGGAAAAACAAATTTCAGCTCTGGAGACATGCATGGTACAATGTAGGAACTGAGACATCCTACCAGGGTCCCCCCACCCCCACCCCGAGGATCTTGCTTGTACCATGGCTGGCTTTGAACTCAATGCCTGCCTTTGCTTCCTGAGTGCTGGGATTAATGGCGTGCTCCACCACAGCTGGCGATGCCAAATCATTCTTAATCTCTCTTTTTTGAGACAGGGTTTCTCTGTAGCTTTGGAGTCTGTCCTGGAACTCGCTCTGTAGACCAGGCTGGCCTCGAACTCAATGAGATCCTCCTATGTCTCCTCCCAAGTGCTGGGATTAAAAGTGTGTGCCATCATCGCCCGGCTCATTCTTAAACAACTGAAAATGACCAATGTGATACCTCAAGTTACCCTCACACTTTAATAGAAACAATCCGACAGCACAGCTTTTCACAAGTCCCTTACTCATGTGCTCAGTTACGATCCAAGAATCACCAGACCTTAAAGACGGCAGAGACGCAGACTCAGTTTGAGGAGTCTGTGCTTCCACTACACACGCTGCGGCAGGTAGAATTTGCCCCAATATTGCCCTTTCTGTGTCAAATCATATGGGCTCAGGAATTTCCGGATGCCAAGCATGTTGGCCGTGGCTATACGCTCAAAGGTCCAGGGATTTTGGTTGTTATGTTCTCTTTCTTTTTGATCTTGGTGCATTTTTTCTAGAGTCTCACGGCTCACAGCCTTTGCTGGAAAGGGTAGCTTGTGGGCAACCATGTTCAGGAAACCCTGGACCTCTTTAAATTCACAGCGTCCACCCATCTCTACTATGAGGCAGCCAGACTTCACAGGGGTCACATAGTGATCAATGGCACCTTTGCCTCCACCCATGCGCTGCCCAACACCTTTGCGAGTGATGGGCTTGAAAGGGGCTGGCACTCGCCATATGGCAAACATGTTCCTGGGATCCATAGAGCGGTTGATTGTCAGGCGCATCATTTCAAAATGGCCCCAGTGGAGATAACCACCTCCTAGTGCCTAAAAATGAATAGAACAATTAGAACACATGGGGATTTAGAAATCTTTTACAGAGTCTATTATGCTGCCTCTTTTATAGTAACTGGCTTTAATGATATACTTGAAAATAAACATATAAGTTCTTATGTAAAGCTGAGGATAGAATCCTAAGAACTAGTCAAGAGAGAAGAGGAGAGTCCCAGACAAACATTGATGTAAATGCCCTGACACAGCAAAGGGCTCGGTGAGTTAGAGCAGAAGCCAGTGCTTGCTGGGATGCAGGAGGAAGGCAGAGTGGATATAAGGCTCTGAGGTCTGCAGTAGTGCTCAATGCAGGCCAGGGGGGAAACTTTACAGTCATCACCCTGGCTGCCTCATGGAGCAGAAAGGCCAGTGCACATCCGTTTGTGTGGCTACTGACATTAATCTTTACGGAAACCACTCAACACAGTGAAGCAGCTGGTTTAATCCTCTATCAGGAATATTTCACTTTCACCAAGGGCTTGAAAAGATCTTGTTCTAAGTGGGCAAATGAGGCAGCCTCTTTGCACCCCACCTTCACAGTAGCCTTACTCACCCCCTCTAGTTCAACCCATCTGAAACAGAAAGTGGAGATCTTGGTGGAAACAATTTATAATTTTAAACTAAACACTTTTTGGAATAGCAAGACAAAAAAACCTAACATCTTGTTCTACACAGTTCCACCTAGATATGAATCAACTATCTGTTCAGTGCATACGTGTTGTATAGGCTACCTCCTGTGGGGTTCTTAGAGGCCACTAGTTTATCAGGTTCACTGTGACAGTATCACAGGGCTTGTATACAAATTCAGCACTATCCATACTCTCAGGCACCCAGTACAGGACTACTGTGTTTTCAACCCTACGACCTACATCTATTTAAAGAATAACTGAAATGTGGCATCTAGGTGTGGCAGTTCTTAGAATGTGGAGAAAGAGACAAGAATCAACTCAAAGAGTGGAAAACTTTGTTAATCTCTTTTATCACTCACCAAAATTGCAAAATTGCCTTCTGTAAATTCAGTGGCTTCAGTTGAGGGTCCTCGTATGTCCTTCAAATTTTTAGGTTCTCTTCTTACTTTTGGCACAAGTGGGACCCTTTCAACAAATTTAAGCTTGGACCTTTCAGGGATGGATACATCTGGCAGGGACAAAACCAACCAAGAATAAGTGAAGCTATGCTTCTCAGAGGATCTCTCCCATGAAGACTCACACCAATCAAGTCTTAGGTTACCAAATAATAATTCCAAAGGTTATTGGATTTCCAATATTAATGGCTATCCATTCTCCTGTGGGTGTTTCCAGTGAGCTCTGGAATCTTTCAGCTATAACAACATTTACTACAATGTTTCTAAACCAAATTCACTTACTAGCCCCCTGCTCTATGTTCGGCACCAGTAGCAGGGACTGTCCTAAGTGATTATTTCACTCCACCTTTAAAGCAGTCTTGGCATTTGAGACGGTCTTCATGGCTGTCAGGTGGTGATCATGTGTAACCTCAATCTTGTAAGAAGTGCTGGACTGAGTGTGTGCATCACAACACCTTGTGACCTTTATACTATTCAGGGTATCTTTTTTGTTGTTGTTTTAAAGCTTGAACTTTTGAAAACTAAGCCACATACACTAAACGGACGGGGGGGGGGGGGGGAATTACAAAGTGAAGTATTAGAAATTGAAAACAAAGGGCCTATGAGATGTTTCAATTGGTAAAAAGCACCTGCTATCAAGTCTGCCCACCTGAGTTGCATCCCAAGGGCCTACAGGGTAGAAGGAGAGCACTGACTCCCATAAGTTATTTTCTGACCTCTATATAAATGCCTTGGCATGTGTGAGCCCACATGCATACGTGCATATAAAATAAAAATTAATAAAAATAAAATCGAAAAGAACATAATTTCCACCTAGATCAAGCAAACATAACAGGGCAGGTGGTCTTCTCATCTCCATTTTAAAGAGGCACTGGGGCACAGAGACATTTTACAATTACTTCAGTTAAAACATCAAAGCAGAAGCATGTTCTTTACAAAAAAACAGTCACTGCCCCTCTGAATGCTAATGGGGGTACAGAGTACTACACTGGACAACAATATATTAAGTTCAACGTGCTGTATTTTCTTGAGAAACTTACAACTTGGGAATTCTCTGATCAGCATTTTAACATCTTTATCCACTTGGCAACTTAGGAAAAACAATTGTGATTCATAAAAAAAATTAATATGAAAAAAGTAGGACTTCAAGATAGAAATAAAACAAATCAGGAAGCCTCAAAGACTCATCAAATTATCAGTGGAATTATAAAATTGATATTCCAAGTTATAAAACCCACCCTTCCCCTCTAACTTTTTGGGGGCAACTACTGAGAAACTTGGTAATGTTCTTTCATCTGCAAGTTAGTATGTACTTCCAAGAGCACACAGTACTCTGTTTCTTAAAAAAAAAAAAAATTATGAGCGTTTTGCCTGCATGAACTGATGTGCAGCACAGGGTGTTGGATCCCTTGGAACTGGGATTATAGATGGTTGTGAACCATCATGTGGGTTCTGAGAACTGAACCTGGGTCCTCTGCAAGAGCAACAAGTGCTATTAACCAGCCCACACAGCAGTTTAAAGGTTATGTGCAGAAGACCCTCAGAAGCCCAGGCTGTTTGCATTTTGGATATCTTAGTATACTACAGAGTACAGTTAGAGTTACAGGGTTGCACCTGACCTGGTTACTATTGCTAAGTGTATGCATACATGTACTGTCGTTTAGAAAGAAGATCAAGTCTAATAAATGACTCTGATTGAGTAGATCATGGGGGCCACATATATTGGCAGGATGCTGGGCAACTAACCCAATAGGTATTTGCTCCGCATGGGTGAGGAACTTTTACGTTCTTTGCCTCTAGTTCTAAGAACAGTGCCTGTCAGCACAGTATGCCTTCATCATTTTTATTTGTTCAATCACTCAAGACAGCTAGGAAGCACCAAGAACACCTATGCCTTTTGCCATCTGCTGGAGAAACAAGTGGAAATGAGAGGCGCTCACCTTCAAAAGTTGGCACCGGGAGGAGGGTCTTCAGACCAGCACTGGTGGGAAGGGCTGCCCAAGAATCTACAAAGACAAGACAAATCACTCTTGGTACTTTCTGGGCCACTCCTGACGGAGGTGTCTACAAGTGTGGGGCGCGAGTTTCGCTAAATGGGCTTCCAAGGGAGCTAGCAGGGTCTCGGAGCGCCGATTCCCACACATGACTGGGACCCAGTGATCGCACAGCAGAGGTGGCGGCAGAAAAGCGCACGTCTTCCCAGAGTAAACATACTTTGGAGTGGGGGGGGGGAGGAAGAGCAGGGGAATGCCATTTTAAAAGATCAAACAGACTTTCGGACCTGAAAAGTGCACCCGCAGGAGCGGCGCGGGTGCGCGCGCCAGCAGCCTCCACATGGCCACGCGCGAGCGACCAGGTCAATCGGATTCTCTCGCCGACAGTAGCAGTTTCCTTCTGTAATACGCAGAGCACAGGTGGCCGGAAGTCACCCAGAACAGGAAGTGACGTTATACTCTCCGTTCCTTAGAGAGTCCCGACGGAAGCGGAGGAAATTTAGGCCCAACTCTTGGTTCCGGAGCAGAGTCTGCAGGTTAAAGGTCCGGCACGCCCCGCACCACCACGCCCAGGTGTTCCATGTTTCTGTGAGGATCTCTGGTTTTTCCTGCATAGTGGCCGATCAGGTTTTTCCTCCTTGGTGTAGAAAGCTGTGAAAGCATGAGGCTTGGTAGGCAAGTTGTTCCCTTAACTTCCGTTGTATTATGTCCCTTCTCTTGAGGACATTAGAAAGATGCCATTGATTTGTCATTGGCTTGTTTATTGGGCGTTTGCACAGTTTCGACCCGATAAATCCACGAGAAGAGCTATAGCTGGAGTTTTCAAAGTAAAAGTCAAGACTTGGGCAGTCCCAAAAGGCTAGGTTCGATAACCTGTCGCCAATATGCCAATTAAACAGAAAGTAATGGCGAAAACCTACTATTCATTTAAGGTGGCTTTATTTGAAATAACAGATAAAGGGGTCCAGTGACCATCCAAGACTGTCTTCATGGCCCCGACACGAGCTTGTCTGTCTGTCTATCTGTCTGTCTGTCTGTCTGTCTGTCTATCTATCTATCTATCTGTCTATCTATCTGTTTTTCAGGCTATCTCTCTATGTAGTCCTGGCTGTCCTAGACCTCACTGTGTAGACTAGACTGGCCTCGAACTCACAGAGATCCGCCTGCTTCAGCCTCCCCAGTGCTGAGATTAAAGGCATAATCCACTGTGCTCACAGCTTTAAGTTTAAATAGAGGACGAACTGGGGGACAGGGTGGAGGGGGGTCGGCTAAAAAGTATGCATAATTAGGCAGTTTTGGTCAAGGTGTCTGATTGATCATTGCCTCAGTTCTGGTTTGGCACGATAGCCATCTCAAACTGGCATAGTTTGTTTGTTTGTTTGTTTGTTTGTTTTAAAACAATCAATCTGTTTCTATAAAAGATCAGTTCTGTTTCAAGATGCAGCCTTTGTCTTCTCAGAAGAGTGGCAGCGTTCTATCTTCAAGTTTTTCCCTTTATAGAAATCCAAGAGAAGGGGCTGGGGGGTGGCTGGGTAGATAAGAGCACTGGCTGCTGTTCTATAGGACCTGAGTTCAATTCCCAGCAACCACACTGTGGCTCACAACAGTCTATAACTCTAGTTCCAAGGGACTGGACATCCTCTTCTGGCCTCCTTGGGGAAACCAGGTATGCGTGTGGGGCAGACAGACAGACAGACAGACAGACACACACACACACACTCTACAATTAAAATAAAATAATAAAAAGGGAACCCCAAAGGGAAAGTTAAAGCCAGTGATTTATCTCTGGGTCTTTAGCCAGAATAAAGACAAAATGAAGGTAGAGACGTCAGTATTTCATCCTACTTTTATTTACCTTGTGAGCCCTAGTGATGAGCTGATGGTTTTTAGTAATGTCTATTTCAAAATAATTCTAATTATTTTGCAAAGGATTTTTTTTACCATTACAATGAAAAATTTGAGCACAGCTTCTGTGACTCAGAGACCTTAGTGAATTAACTACACCATAAATTAATAACTAAGGGAAAAGAAAAAATATGTAATCATCTTGTTGGAAATGTTGGGCACCATTATTTTTTATGAGGCTGGGGCTTTGTAATCATGAAAACAAGAGGATCTATATCCAAGCTTTTAGGAGACAAATGGTATTAGCAAATGAGACATGTCTGTTGTGTTTAAGCCATGTTAAATCTGTATGCCCTTAAAAATTAATTTCATTGGTATGTAAAATGAATAAAAGATTAAAAAAGAAATTAATCTCACAAAAAGAAATATAATCTATAATGCTTGTAGATATTCTGGGAGAATTGCATACAGATCTACACACCTGTACAGTGCATCTGCTTCCAAAGTGTTACTGGACTTTACAAAGCACCCTAAGGACATAATTTTACCCTGTTTATTTTTATAAAGACCATATTCCCCTTCCTGTCCTGATAAAAGGCCACATTTAAAAGAATCAGGGAGGAGTCAGGACTCCAACATTTTTAAAAAGAGATGTAATTAAGCACACAACAAGTGCCACCCATCCCAGGAAGGTAGGTAAAGGTGCCTGATCAGAGGCAAACAAAAATGTTGATTGGGAAGATTCTAAAACAAACAAATAGAGACCCCCCCTTCTTCCTGTCTTGTTTCCTGTTATCTCTCTAATTAAAATAGTATTGAGTCGAGGGACAGTTTTCCCCCTAAATTTAACTCAGCGTAGTGTTATGTAGTATTGGGCATTTAGATTTTGAAATTATGTTCTCTGTAATCAGGAAGGACAATTTTAAGGAAGGACATTTTCATGCATGTGTAGGTGCCGAAATAGGCCAGAAGAGGGAGCTGTAGTTCCAGGTGCTTGTAAACTGCCATAGGCAACAGGTCTAAGGCACTGCAAAGGAGCCCTTCCTCCACCCATTCCCCCAAGCTCTCCCCAATCCTTCCCTTCTCCCTTCTCTCTTCCCCTCTCCCCTCCCCCACCCTACCCCCACCCCCATGCTCCCAACTTTTGCCTGGCAATCTTGTCTGTTTCCAGTTTCCAGGGTGATATATATCCTGGAAATATCTCATATACCAAAATTAAATCAAGACCAGGTGAACAATTTAAGCAGTCGCCATTTTTTAAGTGTGACAGCAATGAGGAAATGCAGCAGCAGTAACAAACAGCAAAACATCAACCCCACACTGTCTGGGTAAAGGTAGTGAACAGAAGCTGGTTAAAGCAGTCGGTTAAAATTGATGTCTGAGAGCACCCCCAGTTTAATGAATTATAAGCACTTAGTGGTGATAGGCTAGTTCTCCTTTCTTCATTGGTGAGTGATATCAGACTTTCCCTCACGCTTTTGATTTCAACATTTGTGATTTGCTTATGTGTATACTAGTTTCTTTTGTATGCACGTCTTCACTTTCCCTTTATCAATTCAAAACTGCTTGTTCTGTCTCTCATAGGCAGATCAAGCAGTGTGTGGTGTGTTGTTGTTGTTGCTGTTGTTGTTATGTGTGTTGAAACTAGAAAAGGGACCAATGGGGGACCAGTCTAAGGGGAAAATGGGGAGGGGGAAAAGAGATGGGAAAAAAGAGAGAACAGAATACATGTGACATGAAGACAGATGGAGGACAAGAAGGAGAAGGGAGGGTACCATCAGGGGATGGGGCAGGGGACTAGGCATGAGGCAGGGGAGAGGACCAACAAAAATGAAGTATGAATACCCCATAATGAAACCCATTACTGTGTACACCAATTTAAAAAGAATACGCTTACTTTAAAGCTTTTGGCTGTGCATTTTGTTTCCTAACTGCTTCCGACTTGTACAGACTGAAATCATGTCTCCCATTCTGCAAACTTGCCTCTTCTATTTCTGCACTGGACGACAGGAGTTTCATCTGCCTGGTTCCAGTTCCTTAAGAGGTGGTGGACTTGACCATGCGTTTGTACTTTACATAGGTCACTCACACATCTAATCAAAAGCACGTGCAAGTGTGTACACTTCTTATTTGGGGAAACCGTCTTCCTTTCTGTCTTCTTTTCCTTTGTGTCTTCCCCACAGCATTACAAAAGTACGTGCAACTGACTGCACCTTCAAAGTTTAGGCTTTACCATTTGTGGCCATTAGAGGGCACCATTGTGTTTTTATAGTTATACACCCAAGCCAAGTGCATTTTTTTAAATTTTTTAATTCATTTTACATATCAACCACAGCTCCCCTCCCTCCCCTCTTCCTACTTCCTCTACCTCACCTCTACCCCAACCCAAGTGCATTCTTGAGCGCTATGAGTTATGTAACCCTGAGCATGAGTATCTCATCTGTGACAGTTACATGTGACAGTTACCTACCCCTCCTCTCTGTCTGTCTGTCTGTCTGCCTCTCTCTCTCTCTCTCTCTCTCTCTCTCTCTCTCTCTCTCTCTCTCTGTGTGTGTGTATTAAGCCCTGTGTTCTATTCCAGGCTGCGTAGGTATCTTATTTTAAACAGCATACATATCTTGAAGGGTTCTCTCCCCTTTCCTTTCTTTTCTTTCTCTGCATAGATCCCAGTCTAGTTCAAATTCTAGATTCTGCACCCTCCTCTGTTCTGGAATTACAGGCCAGTACCACCATGCCTACTAGAATGACAATTCCTTAACTTTTTCTAAACTAAGGGTAGACCAGGTTCCTCAGTTTACCACCGAGAACCCTGGCATTTTTAGTTTACCTTGCCTGGCTGCTCAGTTAGTGTCCTTCTTACAAGCGTGTCCAGAATGTCGGTGCAGAGTCTTTTGCTTCTCTGTCCAGATATCTTCTCACACAGTGTTTTCAGACTATTATTTTATTTTTGTGTGTGTCTGGCATATGTAGGTGCGCACATGTGTGTGAGTGTGCATGTGTGTGGGTGTGCACATGTGTGGATGTACTTGTTCATGTGTGCACACATAGAGGCCCAGAGACCAAGATCAGGTGTTTCCTAGAGTGTGCTCCATCTTAGTCTTTGAGATAGGGTCTCCAACTAAAACCTAATCCTGCTGTTTTGGTCAGGCTGACCAGAAAATATGCTCCGGGCATTTGCTTATCTCTACCTCCCCAGTGCTGGGGTTATGAATGTTCACAGGATCCCATGCCTGATTCTCTTAGGTGGGTGTTGAGGATCCAGACTCTGTTTTTCATGATTGTACAGCACACACTTTACTCACTAATTTAAATTTTATGTGTATGGGTGCTTTGTGTCTGCATGTATGTGCATGTATGTCTGTGTACCATGTGCATGCAGTGTCCATGGAGGCATGAAGAGGGTGTTGGATTTCCTGGGACTCGAGTTACAGAGAGTTATGAGCTGTCATGTGTGTGCTGGGAATTGAAAGGCAGCTAAGTGCTCTTAACGGCCAAGCAATCTCTCCAGTCCCCTCCCCAACCATGAACATTTAAAAACATGAATTTACCCAGAAAATATTAAAAGTAGAAGTCATGACGCCATTTACTGAGCTACAAACCATTCTGGAGTTACGTATGGAATAATTTTGTTCAATTCATACAAATGTGTTTGCGCACATGTTTGTAGTAGGTGAATTGTAAAGGAGCCCTTAGTATAAGAAACACATGCAGGCATTTTAATAGCTATCTGTAGAAGCAGTGAGTGTGTTGTTTAATCCAGAAGATTGCACGACCCTCTCCAAATCACTGGTCTTTCCTTCTCTCTTGCCATAGGCGTAAATGACGACTAGCAGTCTGTCTTGAGAAGCCAGACATTTTATTTCATGAGTCACAATGGTGAGTACTCCAGGAACTTTGTATTAGAACCATTTATTCCACACAATGGCTCAGTTTTTTTTTTTAAAATCAGGACTAGAGTAACGTTGTTAACACCCACTCTTCTTGGCATTGATTTGAAATGAAATTTAAAAAACCCTCATCCATTGGTCCTGTTCAGCAGAAGACACTCCTCCTCAGTACTGGGTGAAGTTGGCTGTGATGTGCTCGTTGTTGAAGGGAATATAGTAAGCAACTCCTGAAAAGAGGCAGAGGGTAACAAATGTCCGCGGGGCTTGTCGGCTTCCCATGCCAGGACATCAGCCCATTGAGCTGGCTAGAGGGGTGAGATCACCGTGGGAGACATGGGCAGGAATATAAATTTGGAATGTTTAAGGATTTCTTTTAAAATGCTTTTATTGTTACTTTATTTGTGTGTGTGCATGCATGTGAAGGCCAGAGGACAACTTGAGAGAGTTGATTCTCTCTCTCCATCATGTGGGTCCCAGGAATCAAACTCAGGTCACCAAACCTGGTGCCAAATATCTTTACCAGCTCTTGCTAGCCCTATTTAGAAATTTCTCTCTTTTAAAAAGATTTATTATTATTATTATTGTTATTACTATTATTATTATCTGTGTGTGTGTGTGTACATACACACATATGTGCACTACATATGTAAAGGTGCTGGCGGAGACCAGAAGAGGGACCTGGGATTACAGGCTGTTGTGAGTCATATGATATGGGTGCTGGGTCCTCTGCAGAGCAGTTGCTGCTTTTAACTGTGAAGCCATCTCTCCAGTGCCTAGGATGGGTGGGCTGGGCACTTCCTGTGCTTGCTCACTCTTTTCCTTCCTCCCCCTCCCTCTTTCTCTTCTTCTTTTTGGTTGATGATTTATTTTCCGCTTGTATTTGCTTTTTATCTTGCTTTACAAATGTCTATGGACTTCTCTTTTACAATCTTTAGGTTTCCACTTTATGGAGCATGTCTTTGGGGGTAAGCCCGTAAGTCTGTTTTCTCTCATGTAGAAAATTTTGTTAAGTATTCTCTCTGAAACGTTATCTTTAGTATTAGAAGACTTACTGGCCCCCAGGAACCGTGCAATAAACGACACAAAGTATTTACGGAAGAATCTCACTTAGTTTTGGAAGATTTTGTAAGAAACAGGAACGGCTTTTGGCTGAGAATCTTTCATGACAAGGATAGATGGTGTTGATATCTTTTATCTTTTAGGTATTCTGACAACCAGAAGTATGACAATCTCACACCAGAATGTTTTTGAATCTGATATCTTTACTTTTACTGTACTGGCTCCCAGAGAAAGGAGCTATAAAATGGAAATGTCACCTGATCTAAAAAAATCACTCTGAAATTTTAAAGGTGGTGGGAGAAATGACAATAATAACAGCATTTTGAACACATTATCTGCAAAAGATATTGTAGTTAATAATCTTGAACAATCTTTCCCCTCCCTCCCTCTCTCTTTCTTTCTTTTCTCTTTCTTTTCCCTTCCTTCCTTCCTTCCTTCCTTCCTTCCTTCCTTCCTTCCTTTCTTTCTTTCTTTCTTTCTTTCTTTCTTTCTTTCTTTCTTTCTGTTTTTTTGAGACAGAGTTTCTCTGTAGCTTTAGAGCCTGTCCTGGAACTAGCTCTTGTAGACCAGGCTGGTCTTGAACTCACAGAGATCCACCTGCCTCTGCCTCCTGAGTGCTGGGATTAAAAGCGTACGGCATCACCATCTGACTTTGAACATTTTTTTCTAATCCTTACCACAACCCAAGGACTAGTAGGTATTTCCGTGTTATAGCTATAGAGACTTATTCATTATTTGTTTTCTGTAGGTTATAACTATAAGAGGCACTTTCTCCAAAGCCTTTGCTGCAGTTCATGAGTTCTGACTGGCCAGTCTTTCCTAACTATATGGGACATGGCAAGCACGCCAGCTCCCCCAGGGTAAAACTGGAGAACAGAGCCTTCAAGATACAGCCCTGGCCTCCCGTGGCTCTGGATTTAGAGTCCTCTTCATGCTAACAGTCAATGCCTGGTCAACATGATCCTTAGGCAAAACCATGCCTCAGTGCTCTTGAAACGGGAAGGTGCTTTAGCATTTATGCAAATCTTTCAGGAATATTCAGGTTTTGCTGGAATCTGAGTTTCATTCTTGCCATGTTTACCACATAACTGCAGATACAGACACCCCTTTTGTGAGGGACTAAGCAGGTGGCGAGGGCTAGACTTTTGCTGAAGCTATATTAGAAAGCTCACATCCTCAAGTTTGGGAACCCGGACTTGGTTGTCTGTTCTGTCAGATTCTAGTCTTGTGTTTTATACAGGTCCCTTTGACATCTCATGGTGATGCAATATTCTGAAATATCTCTTGCATTGTAAGAGACTGGAATTTTTGCTGGACCTCACTGCCAGCTTAAATAGTACAAATTGTGGTCACTTAAGACTTAAGACTGTTATCTTACTAAGTACTCAGCTTATTTGCTTAAACTCCTTTTCTGAAAACAGTGTAAGAATCAACATACTTGCCTTGAATTTCCCATGTAGTCAACTTTTACAACCTAAGATAATGCATAGCCATAATATTAAGTTCTTAAGTTATATACTCTTGCAAGCCTCTCACCCAGAACAATGCATGCGTATCGTTTGCTGAAAGCATCAAATACAGAAGTTGAAAGCGACTTCCTAATCCTACCATAAAGTTTGAAAGCAGTCATTTATGGAACTCGGAACACTGATGTTTGTAACACCGCTAAATATTTCTGTAAAGTACCCCATTCTTTCCCCAAGTGACACTCTCTGTGCTGTTCAATAAAGGCAGAGCAAAGCCATATGTGAGGGACAGACACACAGACAGAGGCACGACAGATACACAGCACGCACAAGCCACACAGATCGACAAGACAGCCCTCTCAGGCAGGCACAAATTCAGACCCATGCAGAAAGACAAAGGATGGAAGACACAAGTCTGATGAAGTAGAGAATTCAAATCTGGACTTGCTCTTGGAGAAATGGCCCCCAGGGGGAAGTACCCTTATTCCTTTCCTTAATGCTACACTGATGCATTATTGGTTACTTGAAGTTAATCACCAGTGTATATAATTCCCATCACATATTTTTTGGATTTAGTTACATTCCTATAAAAAGAGTCAGTAATAATTGTGGAGTGTTTATTTTATGACTATATATGATACTCAGTTCCTATGCATACCTTTATTATGAGCACATACAGTTTCACACTTACCAAGTACATTAAAGAATTAGTGAATGTAGCCTTCCAACTGGAAGAAAACCACATTCCTTTGCTTTTCTTACCTTCCTCCAAAGGTGTTTTGCCACTCAGGAACTCCCAGTATGTCTTGTGATTAGCATTTTCAGCGATATTGTTGATAGAAGACACCATAGGGCCCCAAGATGTCATTTTGGTTTCAAATCTAAGAATAAAATGTAAGTAGTACCACTCAGTTGAAGTCAGGCAACAGAAGGCAAGATGGAGGGATGGGTGTTCAAGAGCTTTACAGAGCAGATAAAAATAATGTTCAAAAGAGAAAATGCAATTGACTGAGTTTAGAATCATGCCATTTAAAATAGAATTTTAGTTAACAGATAAAGGAGTTTTTCTTTATATTTTCACATGAGTAAGTTGATAGGTATTTCCATATTTTGATAGTCATGTTTTATGGATATGTTATTTAGAATGGACAGCTTAGTTTGCACAGTACATGTTTGCCAGATTCCATGAGTTTATTTCTGTTCAGTATGGTGAGAACTCCAGACTAATGTGTACCTTCATGTTTGTACAATAAAACATTTGTACTCTATATTACATGTGTCTGCATGACTCAGAGTCCAAGGTTTTCCCTATAGAATATTTCATGGCAATAAAAGGAGTAGCCATCATGGAGGGCAGGGCACATGAGGATTTTGGGGATGTATTTTATTATTGGTTAACTTTAGTGATGTCCAGATTCTCAGAGGACTGTATGCAAAGAACCATGGAAGCTGGTGCCTTTGGCCCCCATAGGTACCTGCACTCATGTGCATATATGTATTCCTCATGTAATTACAATAAAATAAAATTTAAAAAATAAGGACTCAACTTTTAAAGAAGTGTATGCCAGCCTATGACTATGATGAATCATAATGGTTTATACTACACATAGAAAAATCCACCATATTATTAAATAGCTGATTATATTGTGGTTGTGGAGGCAATTTATTCTTTGTGGTTTTTTTCCTCTCCAAGTTTCTATTATGTATCATCTGTCATTTTTATATTTACAGATGGAAGAAAAATCAGACAACATTAAATGCTGAACTTGTAAAGTATATCCAGAGGGCTTGGGCATTAAGTGTCCTCCTTTCTTTTCCATGAATTGGCATGGTCCCTTGACTCCTAAACTGTGACCTTCCTGTCTTTCTCTGTTGCTTCCTCTTTTTGCAAACAGTTGACATTTCCCAACATTTAATTCTCCCCTCTGATCCATTCCCTTATCCTACTCTTTCCTAACAGGATAGTGGGTAGAACATGAATTTCAAAGACAGTCAAATCCATGTTTAGCTTTGAACTCTATTAGTTACACGTTATGTGATCTTAGGGAGAGAGAGGGGGGGTGTAGGGGAGGGAAAGAAGGAGAAGGAGAGAGTCAGGTTTGGTGGATGGCAACCATTGGCACCACTCACTTGAACATGGAGTTTCTGCGCTGCGCTTCTTCTAGGACAGCAAGTAGCACAGATCCACTTTTCACACTGACCTCGATGGTCACATTGAAGAGCAGGTCAACCCCCCTCAGCTGATTGTTTATGGTGTATATGACGTTAATGTTAGATACTGATGTGGGGACAGGGGTAGGATAGTCAGTTAGAGTTGGTGGCGTTTCATGATCTGCGAGGACCAAAAAGGCACAGTTTATGAAAGATTTTGGTGTTTGACTTACGGATGCAAAAGTCACTGTTATTGGAAACTCATTCAAGAAGAGATTTCAAGAAAATAGTAACCGTTAGGTAATTTAACAAAATTCTTGGACAACTATTCTAGAATCCTGGCAAGGACTCCATGTTAGACTTGTGATGTCCATGGGAAGCAGCTAGGGACTGAGGCTAAGGTGGCAACGTTTCGTATGATAGCAGTGTGTTTGCTTGAGTTTGGTTCCTGTAGACTTGGCACTGAAGTCTGTGAGGAGCTTATAATTTCGTTCTGTCCTACGGAGGTAGTGAATGCAAGAGGAAGGATTTGATTAGGAAAGAAGAATTGAAGGAGTTGATTTCAGTGACTTCTTCTGGAGTGACAGAAGTTTTAGGAAGGCTCTGTACAGGCAGTCTGAATTTCAAATATTTCTGTGTTGTATTTGATTGGATGCAAAAATGCTATAAAGTAACATGTAAGGTTTCTACCTCATCCTGTTGGTGTTCCGTGAGTGTCAGGCTGTCATTGTTAGATCCTTAAGGCTTGGGTGAATTTCATCTATGCCTTTTAAGCCCTCCAGATAAGAATCAACAATTGATTATTAGTCTTCTCTCCTTCTTCCTTCTGCTCGTTTTGGTTTTGCAAAGTAGATGATGTTGATTTCATTTTCATGTTGAAATAATACTGATTTCATTACTGTAAAGACTGTAGTTTTGCCTATATGTCTGTCTTCCGATGTTATAAAGAGCAGATAAGACAGGTGTGATCTTTGGCAGTACATCTGTCAAATTCATGAAGCTCCCTGTCATGACCACGAACCATCTACCTTCTTAAAGTAGGTGTTCAGTATGAGTAGCTGAATTCTGAAGGCTAGGCACTTTGCTGTGTGCTAGCACACATGATTGGGGGTTGGAGATCAGTTATCTCCCTATCTGGCATGAACTGACAAAACAATCTTATATGCCACTCAGCATCAAAGCACATGCCACTGTACTGTAAGTAGCAACTTTATGACATAAGAAGGGAGGTCACTGAAAAGTTCTTACCAGCACCACAGATTACTTGGGGCACGTCTAGGTAAGTCTTGCCTTTCAAGGAGGGGAGAATTTGAGCAATGGACATGGGGTTTTCGAATTTGCCCTGCTTAATCTCATTGAGTATCCCATTCATAGTCTTCTCACAGTCCCACTTCTTGATGGGTTCCTCAGGTGTCACCGAGAGAGCCTAGGAGAGGGGCAGGCATGGGCAAGAGGAGAGAAAGAGAGGAGAGCTTAAGTATAGCAGGGAGTTGGCTCTTGGAGGGTTGAACTTGATTGCTAATCATTATGCTAGTCCAAACTGAAGCAGCACAGGGTTTGGAATTGTGTTTATCCTTCACAGTGTCAGTCCCATGCTGGAGAAGGACTGGAGGTGTAGTGTGGAGGCAAGGCATTTCCTCACACGCATGAGGTGTGGGCACAATCTTCTGTCTAACAATAACAAACAAGATGCTATTTAAAGAAATAACAATGTTGGGGCTGGAGAGATGACTTAGTGAGGAGGAGCTCTTCCAGAGGACCTTGGCTTGGTTCCCAGAACCCACACAACAGCTCTCAACATCTGTAACTCCAGTTCCAGGGGATCCATCCTCCTCTTATGGCCTTGCCCTCTTATGGCCTCCTCAGGTAGTAGGCATGCTTATGATGTATACACATACAGGTAGGCAAAAACCCTATACACATAAGACAAAATAAAAGAGTTAAAGAAACAAACACTGATAAATTCTTTTAAAAAATAGCCACAGAGCAATTATCTGGTCAGTGACTGGAGTCAGGAAATACCGCTAAGATGGCTGTGTTTGTGAGCAGTGTTTAGATGTGGAACAGGAGTAACAAAGCAAACGACAGAGGGCGCTGTAGTCTAGGGCAGCCTGGACTGACTCATGATTGGTGTCATCAGGCACACCTTTTGGTGGAATTCTTCCAAAGCTTGTGTCTACATAGGCTTGTCAGTCACAGCTTCCACAACCTGGCCTTCGAATGGAGTTTCACTGGACTCCTTGGGAACAATGCATGCTGGGTGCCTGCACCAGTCAGTCCTTCCCTAATACTCCAGTACTGAAGGAGAAAACCATTTCTCTTGCTTGTGTATTTCAGTTGGGGCTGTACAAGGAAACACCAAGCTGTCATTGACCACATCTTACATTCCACACAGCAGGAGAGAGTGAGGGAAACCAGTGATGAGAGACAACTAATAGTGGTCCCCAATGTCACCATTTGACCTTCTTATTCTGGTTATTCTTGGAACCACTTCATCTAGCCTTGGACACACAGGTATGTGAAATATTAAATTTCCACCTTTAAAACTGGGCTTCAGGTACTTGCAAAATGAGTCTGGATTAGCACAGCAAGGAATCCACTTATTCTTGCTTAGTTTTCTATCTTTGGGGTGAATTAGAAAGTCTAAGTCCTGCTTGTCCTTGGAGGGCCTATCATTTGAGGGTCCAGTGGCCAAGTGTGGAAAAGAATTTTGCAAGACATGATGTGGAAACTGTCATTGCATCCTCCCTTCCTTTACAGTTATACCAACTAGAGGCACCAAGTATGGTACTGGGCTTTGTTGGCCAATGACAAATTTGCATGAAACTGGAAAGAGAAAGTTGGTGGTGGAGGGAAGTCTGAGATGGTCGTTTCGGCTACGGAAAGCACTTGAACATTTGTGGCAGGTGTGGTCACCTTGCTAACTTTGGCAAATGCAGACCGTAACTCTCCTTCAAGGCCACTTTACAAGGCAGTTTGGTCTAAGAAGCACCAGGCAGATAGGGGGAAGTTGTGTGTCTTAAGTAATAAGAAATCTACATGGTAAGTGGTATCTGGATATGGCTGAGGTCTTACCCTTTGATAGGAAAAGCTTTTATTCTCAGGTGTAATCTACCAGGGTGTACCTAGAAAGTGATAAAGTCCAAACTGGAATTCCTAAGCGGAACCAGCAAGGTAAACAGTTCTGCAGTAAGTCTGTTAACCTGTTTGATCTGGCACTAAAGCACTCGAAACTCCTTAAACAAGGTCAAGCATGTGACCCGACCCTGCCAAACCCAGCTTAAATTCATTCCTCAGGCTGCCTGATTTCTGCAGGAATTTCTAGATGTGAGTTCTGGGTATGCTTTTGTATGGTTCAGCTGTGGGAAAATGGTTTTCTCTCATGACAGAATTCCAGTGACTGTGATGGAGAAGCTGGCTTTGCTCTTAGTCACCCCCACCTCCAGTATTTTGGACTGGTGATTTGTCTTCACTCGTAGCTTAACACTGACTGTTCCGTACACCATTGGGACTTTTCCCTAGTTTTAGTGTGTGGAGGGAACCCACACCAGAATCTCTTTTGCTCTAGGAGCTGATTTCCTTGTCATAGTAGCTGAGAGTCACACAAAGCTTAGGGCTGACATCCTAACTCCAGCCCTCTCCCTTTCCTGGGGTTTCTGAGGTTGGGAGTTCCTGGCACAATTTTTTCTCTTAATTTCCCAAGATATTTAGACCATTAACAACTCAGTGTGGACTAGAGGGTTTACCACTGTGACTCTATAGTGTCTGATTCTGGTTGTCATGCTCTCTCCACCATCGTGCTTCCCATGATGGATTCCTGCTCTAGTCTCCATCCTGCTGGAGATGGTGGGGACCAGGGGCTGTCAGGTAGCATCTGTCCTAATCTAAGCCTGGAGCTGTGTGAGGGAGGCATAAAATGGATACAGACTCAGCTTCTCAGACTTGGCTCCACTGTTTACTGGGTGACTTTCATTACTTATTTATGTGTGTGTGTGTGTGTGTGTGTGTGTGTGTGTGTGTGATGAATATCTTTTGGAAGAGCTACTTTTATATCAGTATGTGTGCACCAGACTTTCAATAATGCATGACTGTTACTAGTAAATGGATTATTATTGGTAATAAACCCTCAAAATTCTTGACTTGTTTCATTTTTCCAAGAAAGGAACATGAATTCTTTTAGGTTTATCTTCACATTTTATCCATGAGCTAGCATATACCTGCATTTTGTTAGTAGAGACACTGAGGCAAGGTAGTTAAGGAATTAACCCCAAATGTTAGTAGATGTGAAATCCCTTAGTCCTGCAGTTCAGGCTTGCTATTCTGGCCTTGATTAGGAGCTTATAGGATGCCTTTACCTGCATAGCCAGGCCAGTGCTGTAGGTGTCTCCGATGATGCCGTCTGCCTTGACCCTCAAGCTGATATCATCCACAAGAGCCTTCAGTGTCTCACCGAACAGCTCTCTGTAATTTTCCTCAGAGCCTACAGGAATCCTGTTGTACATGCAGGTCAGGGCCAGGGTTGCTACCGCTCCAGTATCTGCAAGGCAGAGGGGAGACAGACCCCACTGCAATCACCACCATAGCCAGTGTTCACCAGTTGCTCACTGTGACCTAGTTACAGGACCTGCTGTAGTTCTTGGGACCTATAAGTATCTCCATTTAAGAGATGAGGAAATGGGAGCTCAGAGCAGTAAAGTAACTGCCCAAGGCCACACAGCCATTAAGCAGCAGGGCCAGACTTTAAAATAAATGGATACAGCTGAGCAGCTCCAGACTTTAAAGCTTTAAATAGTGTAAATGACAGTGTACTAAATCCTACTTCTCTCATCTCAGTGTTGATCTTTTGAGATATCAGAAGTTCTGGAAGGCCCAGCAGTCACACCTCAGTGAAGGCATTTTGGTCTTCCCAGCACAGTGGACTGTGATTTATGGTTTGTGGTTCATGCCTATTTTACTCTGTCAGCATTCTGTGCCATATGTGTGGTTCCTGGGCTCTGTGCATGCTCGGACAGTGGGAGCTTTGCATCCATCATAGTACTCAGCGCAGAGACTTTTCATTATTTGCATGTGATACACATGTGTGGGCCAAATGGTCAAGTTCTGACAAGACCAGAGCAAGTGAAATGCTATCAAGAAGGCAGCTTTCAGCTCACTGTCTTTCCCAGCTCACTGGAAAATCTCGTAGCTCCAGTAAGAGCGACAGCATTATTGGCACCTGAAGACAAAGTCCGCCTCGCCGAACTGACAGAGATGCCCCAACCGTGTGTGAGGCTCCAGGTGGAGAGAAACCAGCCTGTTCTTGACCCCCAGGAAAGATCCTAGACTGTATCTACCTGCTTGTCTGATAGTGAAAAGGGAAAGCTTGTTCTTGAGGCCCACGGAGTGGGTGAAAGCCAGAGAAGATATTGCTTCGAGAGTGGCAGAGGACCACAACAGGGAGTCCATGCCAGGGGCTCAACAGAGGAAGATCATTACATACAGAAAGGCTAAAAGAAGGAAATAGCATCACAGAGGAAAAGGATTCATTCATTAGCAGCCCAGCATGGGTAAAACAGAGGAACAAGAAGTTCTCTCGGTAGGTTCCAGAAAACAGCTGTTTGTAGGAAGGATATGTGGATGGAAAAAGGAGAAACATCTTGAAGTTCAGAGTATGGGAGAATTGGTACAAATTAAGGAGTACAGGTTAGGGGTGAGAAAGACATTTATCTCCATTTTATTTAAGATAACTTGTGACTTTTGTGACCAGTTTATTGTCCCAGTGGAGGTCTGCCCTTAACTCATATGTCCAATAAACATTTATTCAATGTTTTTCCTGCACCCACACCTGCAGGGCTCAGCTCCGCCTCCATGGAAGGTTCTTCCTCTTTACTTCCCCCTCCATCACCACCTCTCATCTACTGCAACGCTGATGCCTCAACTTACCCACACCAATGGAAGACTCCCTCATCAGGTTCTTAGCAAAGCGCACTGCTATGGGTAAGGTTGCCTCTGAGTTCTTCTGGCACAGTGCGAGGATCGCCAGACTGGGCCCATAGAAGCCCGAGGCATCATTACCCTGGCCTCAGAAGACAAAAGAGAACCATCATTAGATCAACACTTACCACACTGGGGACATTTTGAGTAGCAAAGACCGGGGCTTTTAAATAGAAATCTCTAGAAACCTGTCACCATAAAAAGAGACAATATTGGCAAAGGATGACATTAGTGTTTCTCAGAGTAAGAATGTCATCTTGCATCTGAAGAGGGGGGACAGTGCTGGCTCTGGGAGGATGGTGGCTGTCCGGTACATGCCTGGGGAGTTGGCTTCTCTAGTTTGTTTTTGGCTGAGAAGTGAGTCTCTCACTGGTGGGACTGTCAGAGCAGAGGTGGCCTTGTGTCTCTTCCCTGACTTTTCACTCTACCAACTTCCATAATTTTCCTTTCTGGGTTAAAAATTCGCATGAAGGACCCTGCCCCCATTCCCCCTCCCTCCCCAAGAGGTCTTACTTGAGGGCGTCCAGTTCTCCATTCTCTTTAGCAGAGTCGACACTCTGCTTCCCGGGTCCCGGCATGAGGAGCTGAGAGCCATAATGGTGAGGGCGAGCTGCCCGCTTGTCAGGTCTATGGAAGAGAGAACAAATGACAATGGCAGGCGTTCCCAGGCAGAGCGCCCCCAAGGACTAGACTGAGTGTTGCACTTGTTTTTTAAACTTAAACTATTTATTTATTGTTATTATTATTACCGTGTTTGTGCACACATGTGCGTGTGCATGTGTGTGTGTGTGCAAGCCACAGCACACATGTGGAGGTCAAAAGGCATCTTTGTAGAGTCAGTTATTCTTCTAACATCATGTGGATTCTGGGGCTCAAGCTCGGATCATCGAGCCCGTGTAACAAGTGCCTTTACCCATGGAGCCACCTCACTAACCTATCTTTCAGCTGCTGCTCACCACCTCCCCTTTTTAATTTTTGAGGCACTCGGTACCTGTGCCTGGCCCAGAGCTCACAGGGATCCCCTGCTGAGTACCGGAGTTACAGGTCTATGTTACCACGCGCAGCATCTCCCAGCCTCATATACAGAGCCTCAAGTCCAGGATTTGGGTTTTAAGTAGTGCACTCACATCATTTTGAAATCTCTCTTTTCCAAAGAAAGAAATATGAAAATAAATCTTTGAGGAAACACTGAATCTAGTGTTGTCTGGATGACTCGAAGACTGTATAATGAAACTATTTCACATAATTAATATATGCAAAGAAATTAATTCCTGCTGTCTGTTTAGAAAAGAAATGAGAAACCCCATGAAAGTCTGTGGAAACATACAGGCAGAAAGTGAACTTTGCTATGTATCTTGAACCTCAGAGCAGTTCATGCAAAGTGAATAGACCCTAGACTTTGTTGTTACTGTCTCTGTCGTTACTGTTTTTGTCCTTAGAGGGCAAGGAAAATGGCATCCAGTGACTTGTTCATAAGCAGCAGATTTGAAACTAGAAGCCCCTGCTTTCTACACTGAGTCTGTAGCTCCCTGTGCATCCCT